TTTTGCGTCTTACTTATATTTCTTTACCTGTAGGATTGACTGACTGAGTGTTATCTTCAGCTAAAAAGAAAAGGGAGAAAAAAATTATTGGAAAAAAGTTTCTTTCTTGTTTCTTTTGTTTTTTGCTTTGTTTCTTTTCTTGTTTAATTTTACCACGGAAGAGTGGTTAATTTTTATTTTATATATATATATATATATATATATATATACTCAATATATAGCTTGCATATAACCTTTGTAATGCTGAATGAATAATTAATAAATAGAAGATAAGGGTAACAAACATGTCCTTCTTTTGCTTGATACTGCTCTACCATGGAAACAGAATACACGCCTTTTGTCTTGGTCTGAAGACATAGCAACTTCTGTCCGACAAATAGCGGTCACCTAAATATAGCTGATCAAATTTTGTTCCAAGGGACAATTTGTTTCTAATTTGAAACATTGCTTGCTATTGCCTTGATTAAATTTGTGTTCTATCGTGGCAAAATAAAAGCGATACCAATGGTGACAGCGTCATGTAGTAAATAATCACTGTGTAAAGGAACCTATCAATGGGACTATTCTTCTTGCAGAGAGAGAGGTGCCCGAGCTCTGGAAGAAAGGTTGGCTGCCAAGATGTTGGCGACTTCACACAGTGCTGGAGAGTCACGAACTGATGCTGCTGAGAATGTATGATTCCGATTTCTTTAGATTATGCAGATTGTTGGTGTTGTAGAAAACTCGTGGAAGAATTTGATGTGGCCACCTCACGGCCACATGGGAGGTATTGTTGACCAGGAAGAAGCTTTCAAAATTGAGATCGGGCCCGTGGAACTTCGAAATAAATGTTACTAATTTGCATTTTAATCCAATTCTTTTCTTTTTTTGGGTCTTTTCAAAATGTAGTTTATGATGTTCACATTTGAACCTCACATAAGTAATGTACTGACAGCAATATCGTCATTGTGTATATTTACTAAATAGCCTCTTAGAATTGTTAATTTCCCCAACCCCCACTCTAGTCTCTTGCCTTAGCCCATGTAGAATTCTTGCCAAAAGAACCAAATCGACGTGACAAGACCTTGAGATATTCGGTTCTATCACAGTAATTTGCCAAAAGAAACGCTTTTTCTGGAACATCATGAATGCCGCAGTTTACTAGTAGAGAACATGCAGTTGAATCATAATAAAGAGCACCTGTTATCCAATATCCAATCTCAAGAGTATTTATTAGATTACTTGGCCCAAAAAAAAAAAAGGACTTTTTTCTGCGAACAAAAAAAGAATATGTATTAGACTAATGTCGGGACAAAATTGCTGCACTGTCACTTCGAAACTAGCAGGAGCATTTGAAAAAAAAAATGTTTTTACGCAAGTTGATATAATACTTTTCTTCCATATTTATAGTCCCTTTTTTACATCTTTTGAATTCTGCAAAATCATTTTTAAAACTAATCTAAACACTTCCAAATCCAAAGTGTAGAGAGAGAAGCATGTTTAACTGAGAGACAAATGGCATGTCTAGGTGGAAAGTCATTGGTTAGAAATCATGTTAATGTTTGCACCTTAAAATTTAAGAAGGTGCATCTAGCATTTTTATCCTTTTTTATAGAATATTTAGTGCCTGATCTTATTGTTTTGATATATTCAGCATTCCTAATTTTACTTTTTTAATTACATTCAATGTTTTAATTCTAATTTAGAATACTGAACATACTATTTAAAAAAAAGATTGGAGTGCTTTACTTGAGAAAAAAGTGGGTAGAGAATAAGCACCCTTGTTTTCGCTTTTATCATTTTTATCAAAACATGCAGCCTTGTGTTTTTGTCAAAAACTGTCAATACATAGGGGTGTTTGGGTAAACCCAGAAACACTTTTTAGAATCACTTTTTCGACACATATTTATTTCGTATACCGTAAAAACACTTTTAAAACTATAGTTTTATTTCTACTCAAACACCATGTCAGCTTAGTGTATCTACTGATTTTGTACGCTTGCGAGGCTGCACATGATGTGGGTGCATATAGTGCGTTTCAAATTCTTAGACAGGTGTGTAAAGTGGGCGGCTGAAGCCAATGGCAATGCTTGTGTCATTCTTGAGGAACAAAAAACCGGACCGGTCAGTAAACCGGTTAAGACACTGGGTCAAGGGTTAATGGGTTCAATCAAAGTCAGACCGAGTTAAACCAGTAATAATTAAAATAATTTAATTTAATTTAAATGTGTAAAAATATTCCTATTGTAACCCAAGAAAAAAGTAATACTTAATTAATTAATTTATTTTTTAATTCTCTCTCCTCTTCATACATTTTTTTTTTGTTTTTATTTTTTCACTTTTATTTCACATCTTCTGTCCTCATTCGTGTGGCTTGGTTTACTTTTTTAGGTTTTCATATATTTTTTTTTTATCCACTCTTTCCCTCCTACCACATGGATCCATTAATTCACACATTACCTACTTTTTGTTTTACTGCTCTGCGCTTGCAAGCCACGGGCAACATGAGCTAAGTATGTGAGTCAAATACTGAGATGAAGATAGATGGTACTGACAACCATGGAGTGCGAATGACGGTGACAGAGCAAGAAGTGAAGAGTGAGATGTCACAACCACGGCTTAGCAATGATGAACACAGATGAGTTCTAGCATTTTAGACAGACTGGCAAAGAGATTTAGAGTTTCTTTTCTTTCTTTCAATTTTTTCTCCAAATATTCACTGTGTTTAATTTTTTAAAAAAAATTTTTTTAAATGAAATGACGTTGTTTCTTGAGGGTGGAAGATTGAAATCATTAAACCGGGTAACCCATCTTAACCAGCGGGTTACTTGGCTTTTACTGGTTCTTATTGGTTGAACATGAAACGATGTCGTTTCTTTTACAACAATTGATGATATAATTTTTTTCAATTCTTCATAACTTGTACCCTCCTTTATATTTGTTGTTCTTACACTACCTCCCACATACCTCATATCATCTTCTTCATCATTTATAAACTTTCTCCCTATATGAACAAAACAAAATATATGCTTTCCAGACGTACTCGCCATCAGTAATTTAAACCTACATTAAGAATCACGCAACTGTCATTGACAAGTCAGGGAGCTATGTTGACAACTGTCATGGCACACATTGACAACTATCCCAGCATGATTGACAACACAATATCCCATTTCGTGCTAAGGGTTTCTACCCACACTAACTTTCATCTTTTTCTTCCTTTGCCACTAAACTAACATCAGAATAGAGCAAAACCACCCACAAGCAACTTAAAAACAAAACACCCATGATCATCCTACACACCCAACTTAAATTACCAATACACACCAACCAAAAACACAGCTTTTCCATCGATTAACTTGTAAATCCTACACCAAAAACAAAAGCTTTGCAATGCTAAAGGCAAAAACGATTTTCTGATTTTTCATTTCTAAACAAATACACAATTTGTTAAGAAAGGTAGGAGAGGAGAGGAAAGAAAGTTTCAGACTTGAAGATTTGTGGAGATTCACATGAAAGAGTTCACTAATAGTAATGAAAAAGATACTTCATCATCAATGGCTCCTTCCTTCTTTTGCAATGTCTTCTCTCTCAACCATACTACGCGGGAAACTCCTCACCCAACTCACCATCTTTGTTTCTAATAGCTAGGACAAGAGAGTCGTTTCAACATTCTGAAAATTGCATTTAAGTCCCTTTGAGACTTCAAAACAATTATGACATTTCATAGGACTTTTTTATTGTATATTTGGTTACGTGGGACCTTAATGTCATTTTCTCATAGATAAACGTATGATATCAGCCTTCTTATCCCACACGGAGGGAGAGCCTAGTGCCTCCCTACTTTAAAAAATTAATTTAATGCTGGTAAAAAAAAGGTATTATTTTAATGGGAGAATTGCAAAAAAAATATCTTTAAAATTTTAAAATTCTAAATCAAGAATGATTATAAAAATATGTTGTTATTTATTTTTTAAATATTGTCAATTGTTATTAAAATATAATACACAAGACTGATTTAAAATTTTAAAATTCAAAAGTTTTTTTTTGGAGATTCTTCCTATTTTAATCTTAGGGTTTAAAAAATATATTTTTAATTTTTTAAACTTAATACTGTTACGAAAATTGCTAAAGTCAACAATTTTAAAATGACGACTCAGACACCCAACATTTAAATACTGACATATTAATTTTTAATATGTTAATTTAAAAATATTTAAAATAAAACCTTTTTATCAACAATTTGTGCAGAGTTTAACAATTATAAAATAAATAATTTTCTTCCCTTATTTTGATCATTGAAAAAAATTATCTAATCAATCTTGCAATTTTCTATTAAAACATTTCAAAAATTACAATTATTTTAAGGATTACCATCATTATTAACTTTTATACTGTAAGAGAGTTTTGATGAAAATCAAACCATAGTTTTATAAATAATTTTATAACATATGAAGTAAATATGTAAAAAAACTTTACCTTGAATTGTCAAAAAATGTTTTTAAAAAACACTTGTAAAGATAACCATACACCATCCAGCATCATGATTTCAAAAGCCCATCCATGATTTCAAAAGCCGATCATCAGCCAAAACTGTTTTTAATAGAAGGCACTAGTAGAAGAACCTAGGGCCTAATTTTTTAGGCCCGCCTTTACTTTTAAATAACTTTTTTATATTCAAATAAAGTGAGCGTTTCAGAACAACTGCAACCAGAACCGCCCTCAATTGTGACAACGATGCAATTCTCCACTACCAGGCCCCATGGGCTGCCATATCTCATCAGTTTGGTGTGCTTACTAAGCCATCTATACAATTTTCCCTCTTTTTTGATAAGGACTGAGCATCTCTCTTAAAAAGATAAGAAAAGATTATGCACCAGAAGTATACATCTAGAGGCACTTTGGGCAGAAAAAGTTTTACAAATTTTATACACAAATATCAAGTCATTTTATCAGAGAACTTCTGATCCTTGTAATCTCTGCTAAACATAGCAGCACAACAAAAAATCGCCAAATTTCCGGCCTTAAGAATTTCGCTTCAGAGCTTTACAACTGTCGTGTGGAAAAGTAAGGTGATCTGTCCAACTCAAATTGTATCCGTCAACTTTCAAGTGATTCTCCGGCAAAATATTGTTTATGCACCATTCTCCTGTAATCTGCAAAGCATTAAGCATTAAATTATACATCCCACGTTTAAATTTCTATAATCAGAAAATCTATGCCTCATCATCGCAAATATAAAGAGCCCAATGAAGCACAAAAGTGTTTGTTTAATAAGTATTTGCACTCAACATGATGCAACACTCCCAAGAAGTACAAGAACACCGGGACACTTCATGGTGTTCTTGTACTATCTCATGTTCGAGCTTCAAGCTTAGAAGATAGAGACCCAAAATTCTACTACCCTCCGGAACATGGTAAGTGAGCTTCAAAAGATTTCAGGAACCATAACTGTTGTCATGGATCTATCGTAGTACTTAATACAAATGAGAAACTCCTAGCTAACAAGATAGAACCAGGAGTTAGCCATCGAAAAATGAATATCAAACTATGAAGTCGTAAGAGGCCATCTTCAAACACTCCATGAAACAACAACAAAACCAAAGGTTGGCAAATTTGACAAAAAAGAAGTCAACCTTCTTTATTGTTCCAAAGTGTCGCGGCATAGCTGTTTAAAGGGCTCTCTGGGTTAGGCTCTGCCACAAGAAAGTAATTTGATCAGGCAAACAAATGCTGAGACGCCGATGCAAAATTCATGAATAGGAAAATGCCAACTGACCTCCCAATAAACTTTGAATTGACAGAAGAATAGTTCTACAATCATAAGCTGAAGACCATTTGTCCTACAAAGACAAAATAAGGCTTCAATTGGCTCTGGAACAATGTACGTAGTTGCATAATAATCAAAGAAGATATATCTAAAAAAACAGAAGGTCCAAAACCTTCAATAAACAAGCAGTGGCTTCAATTTTTTCAATTCCTTTTATAAGCTAGTCAGTACCTGAAGAATGTCAAGGCAAATGTTGCCAAACTGGTCAACATTTGGATGAAAGCACATGGTCTCAAACTTTACTTGGGGCGGCTTAAAAGGATAGTCCAGGGGAAACCGTAAGGAGAGTTTATACGATAAACCCTCATATATAGTTCCTTTTCCACCTTCAATCGTGCCAATCCATGTAAAAATGCTCTCACCATCAGGAAAAGCTGATACTCCAAGATCTCCACCGCTCATCTGAAGAGAAAAGTCATCATTTATAATAGCACCTTATGACAAATAATATCCACGATAGTCAACTGTTAAGCCTTAGCTTCTTAATATTCAAGCACACTCAGCGGAAGATTTTAGGTCAATTGGTGGTTAAATGCAGACTTCATGACAAAATGCTAAAAGGACCAAAAATCTTAAAGAGAGATATAATCTTATGCTAAAATTGCAACTTGAATTTCCGAGGGATTATCAGCAATCAACTCATAATTTGAAGCTCATAAGCATCAAGACATTTCCAGCTAGACAGCATGCAAGCAAAGTAGATTGCAGAGTCATTGCCACATTCAAGAAAACAAGCTATAAGATCACCTATTACAAGAGTGTGATATAAATATAGCATCCCCGGGGGGGGGGGAGGAGAGGAAGCTGCGAATAACAAGAATTCCAAAAAAAAAAAAAAAAAAGGCCCTTGGGAGTAGTTCACAATTGCATGTATTAATTATTTGAAATATCATTCCAATAACCTCTCACCCATCAACGCACAGCTGACTAATAAGCAGACGTACATCTATCAATAACCATCAGAAAATTAGTCTGTTATAGCTAGCTCACAAGAAATAAATCAATAAATTTCTGAGGGTGTTGTCACTAAAAGGGCAGAATGCGAAAATCAGATGGTAAATTCATGTTCACTTATTCAGACATGCAATAAAAGTCCACAGTCCACACGTGCCCAATGATATGAAATTGAGGCAGAAATATCAAGGCAGACGGAATCTCAATAACTAAATGCCCTAAACCCCTGATACCAGGGAAAGCTTGATAAGAGAAGACATCACGGCACTGACTTCAAGCTAAACCGAAAAAGAGAGACAGAGACGCATACCATGAGTGACATCAACTCCTTCTGCAGTCTGCAATCATACCAAAAAGAATAAAAGCATCACTCCAAGGCAGACGAGAAAAAAGCTCGTTTTAGAAACTTTAAACTGGGAAGATGTCAGTAAAAGTGAAGGTTCGGGTATCACCTGGCGATGTGAAGCGTGACCAAAGTGACCAAATTTTTAATTCAAATTCATATGATGTCAAGAAGGCAAGATAATCCCACAATCAAAGTCCCCCACAATCGTTAGATTAAATTTCGCAAAACAGCATATAAATTGAAAATTACAGTATGTGATTTCAGTAACATCAGCCAAATCCATTTCTTTTTTAGAAAAGGAGATTCAGAACCATAACTTGTAAAAGGCTTGATAAAGTTCCGGCCATTCTGGAGGATCAAAGAGAAAAACAGAGAAATCATGAAATAAAAAAGAGATTGATTAAACCTCTGGGAAACAGAGGTGGTGTCCACAGGGTGAGGAGAAGCAGATGGTGGGTTAGATGGATGTTCGGGCGCGTGATGGTGACGATGCTGCTGCTGCGGGATCGACAAGTAGTCGGAGCTGGAGTTGGACGGGACCTCCATGGCAGCGATCGAATTCAAGATCAAGACGACTAAGGTCCAAGATGATGACGAAGGATCGATAGAAGGCCAAGATTCAATCTCCAGAAAGCGGGAACCAGAGAAAGAGAGGGAGTTTTCTTCCCAGAAACGACTTGTGAAACTAGAAAGATGGGAATTGGTTTTCGACTTTTCGTTTCAGATTTCGCAGTGGAGACTGGTGGGGACTGATTGTTGCGTTTCATTCTTCTTGACAATTTTTTTCCATTTTTTTCATTTCTTAAATTATTAAAAGTTTAATATTAATTTTAGTCCTTCATATTTATCTTCATCTTGATTTTGATCTCTCAAATTTCAAATCATAAGTTTTGATTACTCAAATTTCTTTTCATTTAAAAGATTGGTCCCTATAATCTAATAAAAACTTAGATCATTTTACCTGTTAAGGGATCAAAACATGTAGTTTGAAATTTAAGGCACTAATGTCAAAATGAGAACAAACTTGAGGGACCAAAAATTATATTAACCAATTATTAAACTAATCTAACTTTAATTGTCATTTTTTATGAAATTATACTTTTCATTTATTTTTCTTATATATAATATTTTCAAAAAATTTCATATTTTTATTAATTTTTTAATTTTAATATTCTTTTTCAATTCCATCTTCTTTTCTTACAACCTTCGAATGCATTTTTTGGATCATCTTTAGCCTCTAAAACTTGAATTCCTTTTAATTTTGATTTCAAAACCCAGGGATTTTGGTTTTAGGAACCAAAAATACTATTTTAAAAACTAAAAATATTTAGACGTTTAGGATCAAAACCACTCTAATTTCAAAAATTATAATTAAAAGGAAATCGAATTTCGGATATTGTCCACCACAATTAGAGTAATTCTCCCAAAAACAATTTTTGTATTCACATATATTAAATTTAAAATCTTGTGTTTAAGTAATCAAATCTTCTTTCACTGAAACCAATGCCTATTCGGCCCTTCAAAATCCAAACGTAATTTTTGATATGAAGAGGAGAGAACTCAAACTGGCTTAGGAGCTCCACCCCGATCAATGAAAAATGACAAAAAGAACAGGTTTCTAAGCTAAAATATTCTCTATACTTTGATTTTGACAGGGTGGTGGAATATTGACAGTAAATTTTTTTTTTTTAAAAAAAAAAGTTCATTGTGGGACTATATTGCTAAAGATTAAAATAGCCAATAAATGTGAGAATTAGCTTATTAAATCAACTAACTACTCCTCCAGTCTTTAATATAAAATCTAATTATTGAGTTGATTTTGGTCCTAAATATAAGACATATTTTTCATATTTATTAATTTTTCCTAAATTACCCATGTGTATACTCACTCAATTATAATCAAATAGAAAAAAGAAATGGAATATTAAGGAAGATGATTGCAGTGTTTTAGAAAAAACATGTCATATTTTTTATAATTAACTAACTTACCTAATTTTCTTAATCTAATCAAATTAGTTAAATAGGTCTTATACTCCTCCGGTTCTTAATATAAGACCTAATTGTTGAGTTGGTTTTAGTCCTAAATATAAGACTCATTTCTCATATTTATCAATTTTCTCTAAATTATCCCTATGGATACTCCCTCAATCATAATCAAGTAGAAGAGGGAGAGGGGTATTAAGAAAGATGATTATGGTGTTTCAGAAAAAACGTGTCACATTTCTTATAATTAACTAACTTACCTAACTCTCTTAATCTAATTAAATTAGTTAAATAGATCTTATATTAAGAATAGAAAGAGTATAATCATATTGATATGTTGTATCTCACTGGCCCTTTCTAAAGCGATAAAAGATTAATAACACAGGAATGAATGTGCTATATCATAAATAAAACAAAAAACATAAATCTCTAATATTAAAATCACATATATATATATATATATAAAGTAAAAAGGAGCACACTATTATTGATTTCTTACACTCCACGCAGTATATAGTCAAAAAGTAAAAATCATCTAAAGTCTAGATCATCGACGACATGATGAGGCTTGTTAGGTGAATGGACGGGATGATCTTGGTGAGGAGGCACCATTTGGATGCCATGGGGCTGCGTTGTAGGGAAGGATGGCCCTTCTTCAACGTCCCAACGGTCATATTGGCGGGCATTGGGCATGGGAGAAGTTGGAGCGCTGTCGCTTCGGCCATGGTACTTGTGCAGAAGATGAACTGGCGAGAGCCCAAGGGCAGGGCTTGCCGCTGTACTACTGTTCGATAATGACGTGTTTGCCTTCGAATGTTTGCTGTCTTTAACGTTCTTTTTGGCTGATTCGTGCCAGTTCTTCAGCGCTGTTGCTACTTTGTTGTTGAATATTGTGGGCTTCATGCTCGATCCCATCTGTATTTTTCCAATCATAATTAGATGATACTACCTTCAATTCTTAATATAAGATCTCGTTTGATTTTTATTTTGATCCTAAATATAAGACCAATCTACTTTGTATCTCATATTGATTTATTTTTTCTCAAGATGACCCTCCTAATAATGATAGTTCTAGCCAATAAATTTGATTAGCAACAATATTTAAAAATAATAATATTTATTTATTACAAATAATTAAATTAATTTATTTCTTTAATTTACTCAAACTACTTAACTAGTTTTTATATTTAGGACTAGAGGTCGTATTTCTTATCTAAGCATCTAATTAAATTATTTTTATTTTAAATCCATTAATTTTGGTTTGAAAAAATCCGATGTTATGTGACTCAAACAAATATGACATACCTCCACTTTATGCTCAGCGCAAGGGCTACTATAGGCTATAGCTAGTTTAGATAGATCATGATAATCAAATAAATTAGTTAATGATAACAAAAATAACATTTAGGTTCTTCCTAAAATATTCTCACATAAATGTTTGATAATATACGAGCTTATAACTTAGGTAAATCAATTTGAAAAAATGATAAATATGATAAATAAAGTAGGTTAAAATATTATATTTAGAATCAAATTTAATTATCTATAACTAACTCTTGTATTAGAGATAAAAGAGAGAATATATATTATGGGGATCAAGTTAGCCAAATACTCCATTTGTCCTTTTGTATATGAAACAACTATCCTCTTTATTTTTGTCTCAGATTTTCTTAGCTAATTTCATTTTTTTTTCTTATTAATTACTTATTTTAATATTCAACATATTTATCAGCTCATTTTTTTGAAGCATCATGCCTTCATTTTCTTATTTTCTCTGTTATACTCCAAGGTATTTGAAGGGAAAAAATTTCAATTTTTACATATTTATTCTTTTTAATTAATTTTAACTCATTTTTTAATCTACATTATTTAATCAATTATTGTTTATAAAAATGGATGGAGGAAGTATTGAGTACGGATTAGTTAGGGCATGTTACCTGAGTAACAAGAGCGTAAAGGGGCAAGGTCACATAGCTGCATAGAACTTGTATGAGGATCCTGGAAATAAAAATATTTAGATAAATTAAAGAAGTTAGTTAAATTAATAATTATTATCACAAGTTAGTGAGATTAATTATTTGTTTTGTAAAAGAAATTGGTTAATAATAATGGATAATTTAATTTACCCGGTTGTGAGTTTAATCACGATGTCTGCTGTTGTTTCATGGAAGCACGACCTTAAGCTGAACGCAAACTGAAGCATCATGAAACGCAGAATAAGGGCTATTGCATTTAGATGGTACTCCTCATTATCCTCGTATTACTAGTAAAAGTTTTAAATATTATATTCGATCTTTAATATAAAAACTAATTTGACATTTAACTAAATCATCAATATAATACTCTAATTCATTTTATATCTTATATTTATTTTTTTTCAAAGTAATTTTTGTAATAGTTGCATATAGTAAATGTTTTATCAAATAGTAGTTTTAGCTAATATACATAATTATTAAGAGTATTTTAGAGAAGACAACACCTGTTTAATGCAAATAACTGAATTAATTAATTTTCTTAATATACTCAGATTAGTCAACTAGCTCTTATAATTAGAACAAAAAATAATATAATATTTTAGTCTATTTATTGGTCTCTCAAGTCTTCATATTAATTCTTATCAACCGCAAATGATTAAAAATGATATTTTGACAAAAGAACATACTTTTTTTAAATAAAAAACTAAATTAATTTTTGTCTACAAATTAGTTATAAAGACCATCTATTGAAAAGGCACTGATAGAATGCTTCCTCAAGATGAGATACTTACAGCTGACCAAGCGAAAAATGCAAGCTGAAATGCATTCTACAAGAGGCAAAAAAAAAAAAAAGAAATTAATAAGGCAGGCTTAATAAAATAGTACTACCTCTGGTCCTTAATATAAGATCCTGTTTGATTTTTATTTTAGTCCTAAATATAAGACCCCAATCTATTTTGTCTCTCATATTTACTCAATTTTTTTTCAAGATAATCCTTCTAATAATTATAGTTTAGTTAATACATTTAATTAGCAAGGATATTTTAGAAAAAACAACACCTATTTAGGACAAATAACTAACTCAACTTACTTCCTTAATCTCTTCAAATTAGTCAAATGGCTCTTATAATTAGGATCGGCGGTAGTAATTTCCAAGAACATGGAAAAATAATGAATATATATATGTGTGGAAAAAAAGAATGAAGGGACCTGAAAGAGGACAAAGTGAATCAAGTTGAGAAGAAAGCGAGGGCGGTTGAACCAGAAGAGATTATCACCAGGTTCCACCACCGGCGCGCCCTTCACCACCGCCCCTCTCTCTTGGATCCTCAATCCCATCTTTGATATTATCATTTGCAGCTTCGCCCCCACCATTAATATTATCTGCATCCATTCATTCATTCATATTAACCAACATGTCTCTTAATTAATCCTTCTATAATCGTTCTCAATTATCATTCAAAAGATATATATATATATATATATATATGCATATATATAGTGTTGGGTGTGCTTACAATTAATGGGATGAATGGCAGCCACAGATAAGCGTCCCACCCTGTGCAAACAAATTATTACAATATCATTAAGCACTTGTACATCTGTGTTTTTTTTTTTTTTTGAGTAGAAAAGGAATTCATTAAACAAAGATATGTACAAGGAGCCTACAGCTCGAAAGGCAAGAGAAACAACAAACGAAATAAAAGAAAGACAGAACACTAGACTTCAGAGTCAGTTCAGTTGGCTACAGAAGTCCTTGGCTGTAATAATGTGATCAGTGAAGGAAATGGCCTCGTTGACCAGGCGGAAACTGTAAGTCCTCTCATTGCTGAAGATAAGGGTGTTGCGAGCGTGCCATAGCCTCCAACATATAACTCCAAATAAGACACACCATTGAGGGTTGGTCTTCCTACAGCTGAGGTTTTCCTGAAACCAATCTGAAAGGCTAATCAAGCTGAAACGCGTCAGGTGTGAGGATGGCGTGATTAGCTTCCAGCACTCCACCGCTAGCCTGCATCATCTTAGTACATGGTCCACATCTTCCGTGCCTGAGTTGCAAATCCCGCAGAAGGCGTTACTCGTCATGTGCCGTCTGGCTCTCTCACTGTTAGTTAGCAGCCTTCCTCCTATGGCTAGCTAGAGGAAAGTTTTAATTCTATTCGGTCCTGGCCATCTCCATGCTAGCATCCATTTACTTTCTTCTTCCTTCAAATCGTTCTGAGTGAGTAAGTTGTAGGCCGATTTAACTGAAACTTCACCACTTCTCTCTAGGTGCCAATAGCACCTTGCTGGTGGATCAGTGCGTAAGGGCATTGGCGCTGCCATGATCTCTTCTGCAATCTCTCGTGGGAGTTTATTCTCGAACTTGTTCCGGTCCCACTGGCCATTTGGGGTTATAAACTGGGATATCGTTTCCTGTAATTCATATTCTTCAAGAGGTACAAAGGCAAGGTGTTTCAGCGGACCATGATTACCAATCCAGTTATCTGTCCAGAATCGAGTTTGGCCTCCATTCCCAATGCTCCATTTGATGCCCGAGCTAGCATCCTCCCAAATCGAAACCAGACTCCTCCACAAATAGGAGGCTGTTTTAGCTTTGGGCAGCTGATCTGAGTTTGGTTGCCAGTTATATTTTGCTCTAAGCACTTTTACCCATAGAGGTTCTGGTTTTGACATCACTGTCACCACTAATTTAATAAGGAAAGCTGAGTTGTGAAGAGCTAAGTCTTTTATGCTGCACCCTCCATTTTCCTTTGGCTGGCAGGCATCTTTCCATCGCACTAGGGAGATGCCTTTATGGTTTTCGCTTGATCCCCAGATGAAATTCCTGATGATGCTTTGCAACTTTGCATTAGTTGATGCCGGGATTCTAGTGGTTTGCATCGCATATAACGGCACCGTAGAGAGTACTGATTGGGCCAGAGTGATACGACCAGCTAATGATAAAGAGCGAGCCTTCCATCCAGATAGCTTTCGTTGCATTTTCTCCACAATATACCTGTATGTATCTTTTGTTACTCGGTAATGCAGCAGGGGTACCCCAAGGTAATGCCCAAAATGTGTTGTTTTCTGGTATCCCAATTGCTCACAGATAGTATTTGCTGCTTGGGTACTCACGTTTCTAGAGAAGAAGATCCGTGTTTTGGAGCTGCTCACTTTATGCCCAGAGGCTTCACAAAATTCACTTAACAACCCATGGATGAGATCAACTTGCGCCTTCTCTGTCGTGCTGAAGAGGATTAAATCATCCGCAAAGAAAAGGTGGGATAGTGGTGGTCCCTTCTTACCCATGCGAATAGGATGCCAGTTTTTGTTTTCTACCTCTTTGGTGATGGCCTGTGACAATCTCTCCATGCACAACACGAAGATGTACGGTGATAAAGGGTCACCTTGCCTAATCCCCTGTTGCGGCTAAAACGCCTCACTCGGTTTACCATTCCAGATAACCTGCAAGCTTGCTGAGGTTATACACCTCATGATTAGAGAAATGAAGTCCCCTGGTAGCTTTGCTTCTCTCAAAGTATCTTCAATGAAGTCCCATCGGAGCCTATCAAAAGCCTTTTCGAGATCCACTTTGACTGCCATCCAGCCGATTTTTCCAGACTTTCGTCTCATTGAATGGATGGCTTCTTGGGCTATTATGATATTATCCGTAATATTTCTCCCTTTAATGAAGCTAGCTTGCGGTGGTAGCACAAGAGTGGGCATCAGATTTTTGAGGCAATTGGCCGCAACTTTGGTGACCAGTTTGTAGATCGTAGTGCACAAACTTATCGGTCGAAACTCTTTTAGCGTTTGCGGCTGGTCCACCTTAGGAATAAGAGCAATCATTGTTCTATTCAACCAGGCGGCAATTTGTTTTCTTTCAAAGATGCTCCTTACCTCGTTAAATAGGGAGTCACCAATAAGCCTCCATTGAGATTGGAAAAATAATGCATGGAGCCTGTCAGCCCCTGGTGCCTTTAGTGGACTCATTTTAAATAGTGCACTTCTAACTTCCTCTTTGGCAACGGGACAAACAGTTGAGTCAAGCAAAATTTCAGAGACTTGTGGAAACAGGTTTGTGTACATATAGCTTTGTTGCTGGGTGTGAGCATGGTTACCATCGTGCTGAGTCTTTCTTGATCTGATACCCAGTAGTCATTTTCATCTTTAAGCAGTGAAATTCGATTCCTGCGCCGCCTGATTAAAGCCTTGGTGTGATAGAACTTGGTGTTACGGTCACCATCGCAAATCCACTGACTTCGACTTTTTTGCAGCCAGAGTATCTCCTCCCTCAAGCATAGATCTTCATATTCTATAAGGAGTCTTCGTTCTAGATCATTGTGAAATTGTGAGAAAGGGCACTGCTCTAGTATCTTTTGGACGCCTGTGATTCGACGACTTAGCTTCCTTTTGTTCTGTCCAATATGACCAAAGACGCTGGAGTTCCAACGCTGCACTTCCTCTGTAAAAGTTTCTATATTATCTACTAGGCTCTTGTTTGGGCTCCAGACCTTTTTGACTAATTCACTGAATTCAGGATGGAGTAGCCAGGCTGCTACAAATCGGAAAGGCGGTTTGTCTCTTACTTCCGACATCGTGTGCGTGATTAAAACGGGCCTATGGTCAGATTGTAATCTTGGAAGGTGCATTACTACCATGTTGGGCTGTGTAGTGACCCATTTTTTGTTGCTTAAGACCCTATCCAACCTCACCATTAAACCACCTCTCTGCCAAGTGAATTTTGGGCTGGAGAAGCTTAGATCAATTAAGCCAGCCTCCTTAACAAAATTCTGAAATTTGCAACAACCCCCACAATTCTTGCGACTACCACCCTTTCTATCACCTTCGTCCAGTGTGGCGTTAAAGTCGCCAGCAAGAAGCCACGGTTCATCGTCACTCACCTGAAGTTTTGAAAGATCTCGCCAAAGGTGCTCCCGTCTTGAAGCATTGGGGCTCCCGTAGATTGCTGTGAAAGCAATAGCTGTCATCTCGTTAGCTCGGTGTATGTAAGTATGGATGAATTGTTTGTGATTGGAGACAATCTGTACAGACAGGTGATCTCGCCATAGCATCCATATCCCACCTGAGTATCCCACTGCTTCGACTCTGTGGGAATTCTGATATCCTATCTTACATATAACTTGGTCAGCCTTTGCACCCGATATCCTTGGTTCCACTAAAACCACTACATCCGGCTTATATCCCTGCAGCAAGGATTTTAAGACCCTGTAAAACTTACCAGATGCTGCCCCTTGGTAGTTCCATACAAAGTAGGAGGTATTCATTAGTAAAGGAACAAGGTTAATGCTCCATTTCAGAAAGCTCCGGAGCTGCTGCTTCGTCAAAGTTATTATCTGTGGCTTCTTTATAGCTAGTCTCTTCATCAGAAGGAACAGACGAGCCTAAAGCTTCAGTTAAGGCTTTAGTTAATTCCTCCGAAGGTGTTCCAATAGCGTCCTTATATTTTGGTCTCCAATCTTTTATTTTGATTGGTGATTGTATCTTAAACCCACTTCTCCCGATGATGGGATCCGGTGGTTTGGGCTTCAAGTTTTCCTTGCCTGCTTTTGTATACAGATTGGGCTTTGCCTTTGAGGGCCCAGTGTGACTGCTCAAATTTTTATTAGTAGTAGCCGTGGGCATTCGTGCATCAGTGAGAGAAACGGCTGAGTGGTTCCCTGTAAGCAACGTTGTTAGAACTCGAGACGCTATGTAAGCGGGGGCATCAAAAATTGTTTCGGCTGGAGGTTTTGCAGATTTGACCCCTTTGGAGGTACTTCCCCTAGCTGGCTTCTTACTGTTAGGAGCTGTTGGTTTTGGTTGACCCTCTAGTTTGTCCTTTTCTCGAGCCACAGATGGCATAGCAGCCTCTTTGCTAAGATTTGCTGCCGTCTCTACATTTCCTTCCTGATGTAAACCTGCATCTTCCGAGCTAGCTAGAGCCTCAAATCTATTGCTGTCATTTATACTCTTTTGATGATTCCTGTCAGTCTCCTTCCGGTCCCCTCTACCTATTCGCCAGTGTCTTGTTGGAGCTTTCATCCAGGAGCCGAAGACTTGGCCTTCATGGGCTCTACCATCACGTGCCACTCTCTCTGTGTTCATTGCTGTTGTTGCAGGTTGTGGTTGGTTGTCCGCTGGTGGTCGTTGGCTCGTCGCTGGGGGTTGCTGCTGCTGTACTTTTTGAGGGCATGAGGCTTCGAGGTGAGCGTAGCGCCCACAGCAATAACATATGGTTGGAAGCCCTTCGTACTCAACATATTAGGTTACTCCATCGAGCTTTATCATTGAAACGAGGGGTCTGGTTAAATCAAGTTTGACTGCCAGTCTAGCGAAGCGAGCCTTGTCAACTCCCTCCGTGTTGTAATCAATCCTCAGCACCTGTCTGATTACTTCTCCTATAGCTCTTAGGACGTTTTTATGGTAGTAATGGTAAGGTAAACCTGGTAACCGAACCCACCCATATACTTGTTTGATTTCCAGATTGAGCGGACTGAACGTAGGCTCCCATGGGTGTACTGTTAGGTAGTGACCTTGCACCACCCAGGGTCCTCCAAGCAAAGCATTCTGATAGTCAAATTCATTTTCGAGTATTACCATGAAGCAGCCACCCTCTAGTTTAGTTAGTTTAAAGTCTCCGGTGGGTCTCCATAGGCTAGTGATCTTGGAGAAGAGGATGTCTGGTCGTATATAGCGGCCAAGTACTTTCACCACTACTGCGTGTTCCATGCAGCCCTCCATGACTTCCCTAACACGCCGCGAGAAGTTTATGACTGGGATAAGGCCATCCATGTCGATGACCACGTCCCCCTGCTCCAAGTTAAGCTCCTTCTACCAGTGTTTGCTCGCTCTTCCGTCACTTCCTATGCCTCCAAGTAACTTCTCTTTGAACGAGGGGACTTTTTGTTCCTCCCCTTGTTGCTGGTTCTCGACCGATCTGACATCCTCGGGTTCCTCCGCCTGGGGGATACTTGGTAGCTGTTTGTCCGCGTCGTCTTCCATGATGCTGGTTGTCTCATCCTGGAAGAGTTGTTTCTGTATTGAGGTCCATCCTTGTGTTTCTTATGTGCTTACTATTACCTCTTCTGTGTCCATTTTTGCGACCAGCTCTTCTTTATCTCATATCTTCACCTTCTTTGTGGTTCTGTTATCCTCGGCGAGTGGTGTTCGTGCGGCCTTCTCTGTCAGTTCTATGTCAACATTACACTCCATGCTAAAGGCTGGAATAGTAGCTCGCAAGCTCTCTGTCCTCCGCCGCAGTGGGCCGCGAAGGCTCACTCACACTCTACGGCGACTTACCGCAGTGGGCGATAGTCGCTTGGCACGGTTTTCAGAACAGAGCTCTAGGGGCGTGTGTCTTACACTACCTTAGTCTTTTTTTTGTACATCTATGTTTTTCATAATATATACTAGTATTATCTCCGGTTTTTAATATAAGACTTAATTGACTAGATTGGAAAGATTAAAAAAATTAGTTAAGTTAGTTATTTGTAATAAATATGTATTGTCTTTACTAGAATACCCTTGCTAATCATGTGTATTAGCTAAAACTACCATTTGATGAAACATTTACTATGTGCAATTAGTATAAAGACTATTTTGGAAGAAAAAAAGATAAATATAAAAGATAAAATGGATTGAATTTTTATATTTAAGAGCAATTAAAAATCAAACTAGCTCTTATATTAAGGATCGAAGGTAGTATATAATTCAGGGGTTAATTAATATCGTTGCTTTTGGTCCTTATAGCTTTATAATTTTGTGGTCTAAATTTAAAAATTAGCTAATGGTTCCTATACTTTAATTTTAACAACACTAAATTCTTATAAAATTATAAGAATCAAAACTAATGATTTGAAACTATAACTAAAACTAAAATTAAATTAAATTATAAAGAGCAGCAATGATATTAACCCATTTAAGCATGGTTGAATGAAATGGAGAGCAGTCGTTACCTTTAGTATTTGTCAACAACAATAAGACGGCAAGGAACCATATGAGTGGGCTTCAACATCAAAAGCTTTCAAGTTAGGATTTGTGAGTACATTAATTTGAAAGGAATAATTAATATATGCATGCAAATTATTAACTAGTGTACGTGATTGGGGATGTTTATTTTTTTCGTACGTAGTACCTTATTCCCACCACAACCTTAAAATCCTCGTCAAGTGATCTTTGGATGTATTTTCTGAAATCAAAGCTTTCTTCGCTTCCCGGAGGTAAATGCGCCTACAATATATAATCACACGCCCTGATTAGTCTTAATTAATAAGCTTTTCATTTCCTTATACTCCTCATTTCCTATTTATAGAGCAGAGAGAAAAGACATTTTTTTGATCCTATTTATAATGCACTAAGAGAAATTTTTTACATGCATATATAATTTTACCCTTCATTTATTATTACGTTACCTTTGTTTATATGAGATATAATATATATTAAATAGGGATAAAGTTGAAAAGTTGTTAAATTTTAAATGAGACTTAATAAAGTTTAAAGTTTTTCTTGGTCTGTATGAAACATGTTGGAAGTAACTTCCAAATAATAACAGAGGAGTATATGTGTGGAGCTTAATTAACTGGGGCAGATTAATTTTAAATTTGCAGAATTAGTACAAACTGAGGATATGATAATCACCATGATAAATCCACGCCTCAGCGTCAAATAGTCTGCCTTGGAAACTGATCCGAAGAATTGCCTGAACAAGCTTGCCTGGTCAAAACCCACAATACAAAGGGCTTTACATTGCTGAAGATCGTGGGCCTAGCCCAGCCCATTAAGGAGGCCCATGGGAGAGCCCATTAAGAAGGGATGTTTTGTTTTTAATTTTGATAAAATTGTGACTTACAATCCATAGGGAAATTGATGATTGACTCCATATGTTCAAATGCTTTCGCCCAAATGTTGTGTCCCTTGTAAACCTGAACCTCTCTGGATCTACATTACTTATCCATTAGCACGTTTGTGTTTCATTAAGTAACTCAATAATGACCAAATAATATATAGTAACTTTTTTCTAAAAAATATATAATTATCAATTTCAGGGGGTAAAAACTTTTTTTTTGTGCTAAAGCATAAGTACCCTCCTATTAAAGGCAATCCTATTTAAGACACTGTCAGGTACTAAATGTGAGCACCTCTTCCCAACATGAAGTAAAACCTTTGTGTGTGTTTGTGTGTGTGGTACGAAACCAAGAATCATACCATTATAGAATTGATATTCGGGTGTTTTTGTCTCACTCTCCCACTTCTTCCATTTTCTCATCTGCACCATATGAATCAACCAGAGATTTGGAGATATAAAGAGAAAGGAAATTATTATTATCATTTGAGGTGAGAGAAATTAAACAAAATGAAATTTAAAACTAGAGAGAGAGAATGACCTTGGTTCTTCCCAAAGCTAAGGTAATAGTGCATTGCAGAATATGAAATGCTGCCAGCACAAATATGAATACGTGCAGCTGATGAATCCCATAAGCCGACACAAACGCCACTTTATCCTACACACACATACACAAATAACTTAATTACTACTTAATATATATATTGATAGTTTGCGAATATAAAAAAAATCCACTAGTTCGGAGTATTGTATAAAAATTAAAAATATTACCCAAATAAATAGCACTAGATGATACTCCCTCTATCATTATTATAAGATCTAATTTGTTGAATAGATCTGTTCTTTTTTATAAGATTGTTTTTGAGTTTGTATAAGCATTTAAGGCATTATTACCTATTTTATTCCTAATTTAATGTATTTAATACATTTTTTTATTTATCTCACTATTACTCTCTCACATTTACTTATTTATATATAGGGCTATATTTGAACAAAATTGCATCTCCTGCATATTAATTGCTTTTAACTAATTTTAACTGCTTTTTTAAACTATGTAATTTTGTTAAAAAGATCTTATAATAAGGGACGGAGGGAGTACTACCTTCTATTCTAATCATACGACCTTGTTTGTAGACTAATTTTATATTAATATCGCATGATTAAATAATAAATCTACAGTTAGACCAAAGAAAGGTTCTAAATGGACAATAATAAATTATGACAATATGTATTTACTTAATAGCGCGTATGTGTTCATTCTAATGATCAGTCCAAAAAAAAAGTGATATCATAAAGAGGGAAGCAAATCTAAAATAGGGGAATTTAATTAGATGAGGGGTTGCCTATCAAAATCTTTTTTAAACACAAAGCATTCCCATTGATTTCGTCAACTTTCAATTAAAGGGGAGTATTCTACGCACATAATTGGGGGAAAAAAGAAAAAACACTACCTCTGGTCATTAATATAAAAGTTTATTTGACTTTTATTTTGATCCTAGATATTAGATCCCAATTCACTTTATCTCTCATATTTATCCATTTGTTTTCAAGATAGTCATTATAATAATAGTAGTTTTAGCCAATATACTTCATTAGCAAGAACATGCATTTTAAGAAAAACAATACTTATATATTACAAACAACTAATTTAATTAATTTTTTTAATATACTCAAATTAGCAATTATCTCTTCTATTAAGGACTGAATATGGTAATTTTAAAAAAATTAAGATGTATTTATTACAAATAATCAATTTAATTAATTTTTTTTAATATTTATAAACTAATTTTCTAATTCTTATATTAAAGGACGAATATATGTACTATGCCATATGAGTTTTTCAAATTGCCCAGTATTATGACAAGACACGAGAGTGTATATATATGGAGTGGGAATGAATGACTTGCCTCTCCACATTTGTCATATCCTTTGCTGGCCAGGAAGCGGCGTTGAGAATATTCGAGAAGCTTCCTGGAATTGTTAGAATCTTCCCCGCCGGCTTCTTTTGCGGGCTTGTCGTCCTTGTAAGACGCGCAAGGTCGCCACGTGGCTGCCACTTCTCTCGATATGCAAATCGTCGAAATTGAGCTTTGCAGCAGCGTCAACATAAACGATATGAATCCCATCAACATAAGCTCTACAGCCGTCCATTCATTATTAATTCATTAATCACACTTACACCCCACAATTAATTCATTAAATCTCCTAATTACTGTTAATCATAATTAATCTCTTATCAATCAAATCTTAATTCCATATAAAGTCTACGTACGTACCTCCTTTGACCTTTTCAAGCGCTTCATAGAGAGCAATCTTATTATTCTTCTTGAACCACTGAAATTTCAAAGCAATTTGAGTGATTTCATATCCCATGTAAAAAGAGTTTTATCTTATAAAATACTCCTCTGCTCTTATTTATAAATCACTTTTAACATATTTCATATGAATCAAGAAAACACTTAAACTTCATTAACTCTTATTTAAACTTTAACAACTTTTTAATTTTATCCCTATTTAATATGCATTATACTTCATGTAAACAAAATCAACACAATAATAAATAAAGGGTAAAATTATACATCCATACAAAAAATTTCTCTCACTACCTTATAAATATGACCAAAAAATATTTGTTCTCTCTATCCTATAAATAGGACTAGAGAAGTATAAATCATACAAATAAAGCATATTATCTGCAGCCTAGGTAATTAATTTGAAAAAATTAAGAAAATTAATTAAGTTGGTTATTGATGACAAATTTGTGTTAATTTCTTTGTGCTATCTACTTTAATTGTATACATTGGAAGTACCTCTTGATAAGGGAAAAAAAGGACTAATGAGCTAATGTTAAGATGGTAATCTACCTCATTTCGTAAGAAGAAAAAAAACAAGTTCAAATATCAAAAAACATACTTATTGAGAAAGCTTTGCCCTTAAACACTTCCTGCTCCATAGAGATTAGTACTAAATCTAAAATTCGGGTGACAAGGCAAAAACTGCAGAGGACAAGATTTTTTTTTTTTTTGGTCAAGCAGAGGACAAGATTGAATATTGCAAACGGCTACCAATTAATTCCAAACAATAGAAAAAATAAATTTAACTGGAGATTACTGTTCTTTCATGTATATACGCACACATGTATATGTATGTATGAACAGAGATTAACTTACTTTGCCAATTACATGAATGATGTGTTCGATGAAGATTGAGATAGCAAGCAACACAAAGCACACCACAGCGACGGCCCACGTCGCCGTTTCCTCCAACGTTCTTTCTTTTTCTTCTCCGGCGGCCATTTCTCTGATCTTTCCTCTCCGAGAGATTCCAACCAGAAACTATGAATAAGCAGAGAGGAAAAAAGGTGCGTACGTACGTAGCCTAAAGAGAAAAAAATGGAAGGTGATAATGGTGAGGATCACAAGGACGATGAAACCAATAATTAAGGTTGTTTTAATATATAAAGGAGTCATTTTGATTATACATATGGCCGGCATGTTATATAGAAAGAACAAGCAAGAGATGAAAGCTTTTTTGTTCTTAGTTATTAGTGTTTGTGTATTTTTTGACACCTAAAAACAAGAAGAAAGACCAAGCAAAAGAGGGTGAAACTAACAAAGACTACTACTTTGTTTAATTTGACATATTCCACACAATAATACGTCAATAATTAATGAATAATGATGAGTGACCCCGGAGTCTTTTTCCCTGGACTTGCGTGCTCGTCAGGTTCCTTAATTAATTAATTTATTTTTGCTAAGATGATTATGAAGAAGAAGAAGAAGAAGAAGAAGAAGAAATGGGAAATTATTATTTCAATTATTAAACAAAATGTTAAACATATCGATCCTTTCAACTATTCTCAAATCAAGTGTTAATGTCGCCCTTGAACTTAAAAAATTGCTGCCACTCCCAATTTTAAAGGACAAAAAAAATTTTAACGGCCACATCACATCACTTGAAAATTTAGGATATCAAGTACTATTCTGAGAATTGTTTAAAAATAAAAATATCCTTTTAAGCACTCTCCAAAAAAACTTATTTTGTGCAAACTAGTTTGGGAGGGTATATTTTGACATATTCCACAAATAATTGCTTAAGCGGCAATGCAAATAATATTGCAATCGGAGTCAACTCATTGAGAGAGTATATTTGTGGGTGAGGAATATCTCCGCTAACTTCTTTCTCCACTTTCTCTTTACTTAATCTTTTTATTATTAGATCAAATTTCAATAGCTGAGATTTATTTTATAAGAATATTATTAAAATATTAATCTATACTGTTAAAATTTGATATAAGTAATTTAAAATGGTAATTTTTTATTATATTTATAATAATATTTTTACTTGGATTTAAATTTCAGCTATTAAAAGTTAATCCATTAAATGGAGGATAAGTTAAGAGAGAAGCTAGTGGAGACATTCATCTTCTAGTATATTTTGACTTTTGCATTTTGAAAGGTATCAAGTACTATTCTGAGAATAGTTTAAAAATAAAAATATCCTTTTAAGTACTCTTTAAAAAAACCTATTTGGTGCAAATTAGTTGGGAGAGTATATTTTGACATATTCCACAAATAATTGCTTAAGCGGGAAAGCAATAATATTGCAATTAGAGTAAGCTACTTGGGAGGGTATATTATATTGTGGCCTTTGTATTTTGAATATAAAATAGCTTTAACACCATTTGTTTTATTCACGAAAACATTGATATTATATACGGATACATTAATCTTAATTTTAAAAATAAAAATAAGTAGGTTAAACGATCATTATTTGAATTTTTGTGAGCATTTTTTGAGATTGTACTATAGGAATTTTCTTTTCATCAAATTAATGATGTTAGATTGGAAGATTGAGAAGGCAATTTATAAAATTAGATGAACAAATTAAAACCTCATGCAAAATTTGAGGATCGAAGATATATTTTTACATTATAACTTTTCATTATTACGAATGAATAGCATAGATCTTGTCATACCTACTTTCTTAGTTGAAGACAAAATTTCCCTTGATTAAATTAAATATTCAAATATACTCCTAAACGTTTCCAAACTTTATATACATTTGAGGACGATGGCAAAAAGGACAAAGAGTCGAGGACAAAACATAATGATGCTCCAATTTATCGTCATTAATTATATATCTGCTAATTCAACTATACCAGTTACCTTTTTGTATGTACTTAGGATCTATAATAAATCCTAAGTAAAGGAAAAAAAAGTAAGTACAGGTCCTTTAATTTTATTTAATACTAATAATAGATTTCAAGACATCTAATATTTATAAGCCAAACTTTCATATTTATCAATAAAAATGCACCACTTATAAGTCAAGTTTACACATTAATATTTACAAGTCGAATTACGTGATTTACAGTTCTTTTTTAAAAAAAAAAACCTTGGACGTGATTTACAGCTCAAACTTTTAAATATTGAATCCCTGAGACATTATACTAACAAATGAAATTCGAATGACCTATACAAATACATATGTGCTTTAGACGTGAGGTCCTCTTTTGTGTTTCCTTCGCCGATGAGGAAAACCAGAGGCCACGGTGCAGAAATATATATATAGACCCCCTTTTTTTTGCCAACACAAAAGGGCCTTACTAACGTAGCTCCTCTAAGAAATAGAATTTATGTGTCTGTATTAAAAAAACATGACAGTATCTTGAATATGATTATCTCTAATAGAATGATACATATATTTTAACCAAAAAAAAAAAAAGACATGATAACACAATTGTTGGTTGGTCAAGTATGGATAGCCCATGTTCATATATATATGTGTGTGTGTGTGTGTATTAATTGAACCTAAAGTATATATACTACTCCTCCGGTCCTAATTATAAGACCCAATTGACTTATTTGAGGAGATTAAGGAAGTAAGTTAAGTTGGTTATTTATAATAAAATAAGTGTTGTTATTCCTAAAATATCCTTGCTAATTAAGTATATTGGCTAAAACTATCATTATTAGAAGGATTATCTTGAAAAAAATGCATAAATATAATAGAGAAAATGGATTGGGTCTTATAATTAGGACCAAATAAAAAGTCAAATTGGGTCTTATAATAAGGACCGGAGGAGTATTAACTTTTTCGTCAATATTTCCTTGCACAAAAAAAAAAAGTTTACAAAATCACGAGGTTTCAGTTAAAAAATGGGGCAAAAAAAAAAAGTAAAAGTAAAAACGCCTTCTTAGACAGTACATTATGAGATATACATATATATAATTCCTAATAAAAAATACCTTTTTCAAATAATAAAATTACATCAAAAACAATATAAACAAAATGACAATTGAAGGCTCTGTTAACAGAGTCTTTTATGTGTCTTTCACCATGTGCGCGCTTGGAAGTTGAATGCCACATAGGATGCCATCTACTCTTTAACAAGCCTCTTGTTAATTAGGATGGAACTCCTCCCAGTTGACCAGTATCATGTAAAGCGACAACTTTGCCTTTCAGATTCCTATCAGCCTTTGCGTTGATACCATACCTAGCTGTCCCATTTGGTAGAAAGTATTAAAAATAAGAACTAAGGACTGAAATTAGGATTGAAAAAATATGTTAAAAAAGTATTTAAGATGAATAATTTCTTATTATATGAAATTAGGCAATCACATGTGGGTGGGATTATTGAGGAATACCACCTCCCCATTCCATGTAACAAAAAATTACTCGTACTAAACACTTTTTTAATGATTTTTGTGAATTCCAATCCGAATCTCTATCGTTTAGTTTTAGTACTTCATATTAAACAGGACCAATGAGTAACTGATGAAAACTAATAAGCTGGATGATCTCTGGCTTTATGAGAGTTCTTGAACGAGAACTCAGTACTATGGTGAATGTCATCACGCTGATGGATCCTCATCGGAGCAGGCCCTTGAGGCAATTCCGTTGAAGAAGCAGGAGGCATCATCATCATGTGAAGCTCACGCGCTCCAATTGTAGGGTAGGGTGCCCCTTCTTCCACGTCCCAATTACGAACACGTTCGTTTCCTTCATATCCTCCTTTGCTGGGAGACGTTGGGACACTGTCACTGCTTCGAGCTCCGGTGTGCTTGTGAAGAAGATGAAGCGTGGAGGTCCCGCGGGTTGGGGTTGCCGGAGCACTTGACAAGGGCGTGTTTGTCGTCCCTGAGTGTTTGCTGTACTCTTTCACATGTTTTCTTGCTGTGTTGTGCCACTTCTTCAGTGCTGATCCCACTCTCTCGTTGAATATTGTGGGTCTCATCTTTGATCCCATCTGTGTCATTAATTCCCATCCAAACACGCCATAACAAAGCCAAACTCAGGTTCAATTTATTAACCATTATATTAATGCCAAGTAAGCGGGATGGAGCATGGTCGGACCTTATTTGTTGTTCAATTATTATGCGAGACTCGGTAGTGATTAAATCCGTTACTAGACATTATACATAATATACTACCTCTAATTCTTAATATAAAAGTTAAATAACTAATTTAAAAAGATTTAAAAAAAACTAAGTAAGTTAATTATTTGTAACAAATGTAAGTTGACTTCTTTAAATCACCCTCATTCAATCATATATATTGAAACGACACTCGGGTGAAAATACTTTACAATCAATAGGGATATTTTTTTTAGAACACATGATAAATTTGGAAGATAAAATAGATGGGGTCTTATAATTAGGACTACCAACTTAGCTCTAATAGTAGTAGTCTTTTCGTTTATATATATACCACCTCCGGTCCTTAATATAAGATCCTGTTTGATTTTTATTTTGGTCCTAAATATAAGACTCTAATCCATTTTGTCTCTCATATTTGTACATTTTTTTCCAAAGTAATCTTTCTAAAAATGATAATTTTAGTCAATACACTTAATTAGTAAGGATATTTTAGGAAAGACAACACTATTGAGGACAAATAACTAACTCAATTTACTTCCTTAATCTCCTCAAATTAGTCAACTCTAATAATTAGGACCGGAGGTAGTATATATATATTTATATAGCTCTTTTAGGAATACTTTTGAGAGATTAAAATACACTTTAATCTAACCATAAAATTTGGATAGGCGTATATCTTACTTGTGTGACGAGGGCATAAAGAGGCAAAGTCACGTAGCTGCATAGAACTTGTATGACAACCCTGGAAACAAGCAAGGACTAGATTAGATATCATGAAGCTGATCGATTCTTACTAAGCTAATTAACGTACGTACTGATAAAATTGAAGTCCTTGCTTGATTTTGTGAATGAAATGAGGTTTTTTTTTTTTTTCTAAAGCATATATAGGTATCCTCCTATTGGAGGTAATTCTATTCGAGACACTGTCGGATACTAAATGTGGGCACCTCTCCCAGTAAGGATTCAAATCTTAGTTTGCCACATTGTAAGGGACTAGCCCCTTCTACTAGATCCAACCTCTATATGTGTGTGCTTACCCTGTTGTAAGTCTAATGACGATATTTCGGGTTTCTTTGTGGAAGCATGACCTTCGGCCGAACGCATACTGAAACACAAATGAATTACGTGCAAAGGGTAAGGTCAGATAAAATTTTTTTGCTTCTAATTTCCTTCTAGCTAGCTATATCTAAATAATGCAAAAACGTAATAATAAAAAATCTAGCTGTTAAAGTTGGGAAACCCATGATGTTATAAGGCCCTTCGATGCCCAATATGGGGCTCATAAGAACAGTAGTATGTAACAAAATCTTCAAGTAGGATTACGAGGAGACACTTACAGCAGTGTAGGCGAAAAATGCGAGTTGAAATGCATTCTGAAGATGGATAACATATATATCAGATAATGATGATGGTGAGAAATACTAATTAATTAAGAATATTGGGATGTAGTACTACTACTTCAATATATATATACTGTCTCCAATCCTAATTATAATAATTAGTTGACTAATTTGAGGAGATTAAGAAAATAAGTTAAGTTAGTTATTTATAATAAACAGGTGTTGTCTTTCATAAAATATCCTTACTAATCAAGTGTATTGATTAGAACTATTATTATTAGAAGAACTATCTTGGAAGAAAATGTATAAATATAAAAGATAAAATAAATTGGAATCTTATATTTAGGACCAAAATAAAAGTCAAACGATATCTTATATTAAGTATAGGAGGTAGTATATTGTAATATTAACAGAAAATTAAAAGATTGAATGGAATTACCAGAAAGATGACGAAATGAATGAGCCTGAGAAGGAAGCGAGGGTTACCGAACCAGAAGAATTCATCGCCAGGCTGCGCCGCCGGCGCCCCCCTCACTACTTCGCCTCTCGCTTCAATCCTCAGTCCCATTTGTGTTATTATCATTTGCAGCTTCGCTCCCACCCATAATATTATCTACAATTTATTTATTTAATTACACACATCCACCAAATTCAATTAATAATTACTTGACACAATATATATAAAAGGAGATCATTAATTTTCTAAATAAATACATGAAATGAAATTGTGTATATAGAGTATATATGTTGAGGAGTGCTCACAATCAATGGGATAAATGGAATCCAATAATAAGGGTGCCATCCTGTCAACAAGGTGAATTATATTAGAATATAAACACATGATGATCTTATTCATTACATCTAATTTGAAATTTCGAGTACTGTTATCTCTTTTCGATCCTAAATATGAGATATTTGGTTATAAATATAACATTTGAATCAACTTTATCTTTTAAATGTATAATTTTTTCCATAAGTTCTCCTTTCTTTTGATGCCCAATAAACTCTCCTTATCAACTGCATATATTATTAAAGCATTTTTTATTAAAATATAAATTATTAAAATGCAAACTATAGGGAAATCAAAACCTATTTTTTCTATAGACAACTAATTTAATTTTCTTAATTAATTTTTGTAAGGTTAAAGTATACATTTGATTCTTTAATTTTGTACAAGGTTTCAATTTGATCCCTTAATTTTAAAAAGCATACATTTAGTGTTTTAACTCTAAAATCATTAACTTTCAATGATGATTTTTTTTGTAACAATCATAAATATTTTGAAAATTAAACTTGATATGTTAGCATTTGAGAATATTTTATCAATATTTAAGATATTAATGTCATTATTTTTTTAAAAAAAAAATTTGAGGGTTAAAGGACTAAAAATATACTTTTTAAAGTTAATGAACCAAATTGAAATCTTGTATAAAGTTATAGGATCAAATGTATCTTTTAGTTTTTTTGCAAATTAATTATCTATAACTCTTATATTTAGAATCAAAAAGAGTATTAATTTAATATAATTAAGTGTTTAATGCATGTTTGTGAGGCATAGATATATAAATGAAAGCTAAAGTATCTGTGATTTATTATAGGTCGAAACCATATACATATCCAGTTTAAACTAACTTGAAAAAATAGCTTACCGTAAGTATTTGTCAAGAGGACCAAGACAGCAAAGAGCCATATGATAGGGCTGAAAGTACCAAAATTTTAAGCTTAATTAATTAATTAAATTTGGGAGTAAATTAAAAGAGAATGAAAAAAGTAAGTTGTAATTGGAAGAAGTGGATAATGATTATATATTATTGTTTCACACCTGATTCCAACGACAACCTTAAAATCTTCGTCAAGTGATCTTTGGATATACTTCTGGAAATCAAATGTCGCTCCACTTCCCGGAGCCAAATGTGCCTATAATTAAACATAATAATTTCAGAATTTTATTAATAGTTTAATTAAGTGTCGTACGTATAAAAGCTTATATAATTACCATGATAAATCCGTGCCTAAGTGCCATATAATCAACCTTAGTAACTGATCCATAGAATTGCCTGAAGAAGCTTACCTGTTCAAGCACATAAAACTTTAAATATATTAAATCATAAAATCTTAAAGGAATAAAAATATCACAAGTATAATCAAATGCAGAGCATATTATATAAATCAAAATTCCAAGGAAATTATTATTTTCTTGGGGGAAAAAATCCCTGACTTACAATCCATAAGGAAATTGATGATTTGCTCCATATGTGTATATGCCTTCGTCCAAATGTTGTGTCTCTCGTAAACCTGAACCTCTGTGGATCTGCATTGCATGTAAAATTATTGGCCAAAAATTAAAGGATAACAAAACAAAATTAAATCCAAATTTTATAATTGGGGTATTAAAGTCCAATGACCCTAAACAAACCCCCCTTAAATTCTTTTTAATCATGGAATCATAAGTTCAATTCTATCTTATAAGTGCGTGAGTTCTTTTCATTATTAAGTAAAATATAACCAAAAAAAACTAAATTTTATAACGATGCCGTTTTTTTTTAATGAAACATTTAATTGCATTACTTAATAGGGAAAATTCAACAAAAAAAAATACCTCTAAAATTTTAAAATCTTAAATCAGAAATGATTATAAAAATGTTCTGTATCTCATTTACTTTTCAAATGCGAGTCAATTATTTATTAGAGTTTAGTAAACAAAACTGGTTTAAAATTTTGAAATTTAAAAGTATTTTTTTGGCATTATCCTGCTTAATATCTCCACACATTTCAACTCCACTGTTTTTGTTCCAACTAAAATATCTTGGAGCAGATGGAGAATAGAGAGGGTTTGAATTTTCTTTGCCCCATTAAATGCATGAAATAAATTAAAATAGTCAATGTTTTGGCGTTCAAGTTCAATTATTTCAATAATCTCATATTGAAGGCGTGCTAGGCGGAGATTAACCCAACAAGGAACGTCCCAAGTTGGGCTACTTGTGTCTGTGTAGTCACTATCGTAGTTAATGCATACACAGGGACAGTGGCTTCGTGTCCACTTGAGCTAGGTGCTCGTATTAAATACCACTCCAATTCTAAATATATAAGAAATAATTATTCTAAATATAAATATAAAACTTTAATATATTTTATTTTATATATTTATTTTTTAAAAGTAGTTTCTATGATAATCACATATGTTAAAAAGTTCACATTTTAATGTATATGATTAACAAGAATATTTTATAAAACATAACACTTATTTATTATAAATAAGTAACTTAACTGATTTTTTAAATTATATTCACAAATTAGTTATTTAACTCTTATATTAAGAATTGGAGGTAATACTTGTTAGGCACGACATCCTAATTGGAGCTCGTTTTGATTCTTTTGAAGAGCAATTAAAACTTTCAATTGAAAGCAGTTTTTTAACAGTAATTTACAGAGTACAAGATAAGTATGTGATAGGAGTTTTGTCTCAATTTATATGAAAATATTTATAATGTGATCCCAAACAAGCCCAACTTCTTATAGAGTAGTTTTTAATAGATAATTTTTTATAAAACTTTTGTTGTCAATTTTAATAAAACTTATACGGAATGGGAAAATTGCTAAAATGTTCGGAAAATTTTTTGTCAACGAGGACCTGAATTTGAGTAGGTGGAACACTTTTCTAGTTTTGTTCAAATAGCTTTTATTTTGAAGATTTTTATATATAGATGTAGATATGTTGCACACAACTAAATAAGAATTGTATCCACTAAAAATAGTTGTATTAAGTTCTTTTGACTAAGAAATTTCTCAAATAGGGACTTTTTAACAAATTTTTCTTAAAAAATCACAAAATATCTTTGTTGAGCGTAAATATAAATGAGAGAAGTAATGTTATGTTTTCGTTTATATATAAATTAGGAAATATGATATTGATTGCTTGAAATTGAAAGCTTACCATTACTGAGCTGATATTCAGGAGATTTGGCCTCATCCTCCCATTTCTTCCACATTCTCATCTGCATACATTTATGTTTATATCCATTGAATCAGATAAAGAACTTAAGACATTCGGAAAGAGCAAGAAATTGTTGCTGGAAAGTGAACGGAAGATGAAAATTAAAATAAATAAATAAATCAATCGATGAAAAAGAGTACCTTGTATCTGCCCAAAAGCAAGGTAATAATGCATTGAAGGATATGAAATATTGCGAGCACAAATATGAATATATGAAGCTGATGAATGGCGTATGCAGACACAAACCCAACTTTACCCTGTAAATATATATATCCATATAAAATTAATATAATTAGTGAAAAAACTTGACAGGAGTCCAAATATAAAATACGTGCTTGTTTATCAAATACTACTTCTGTTTTTTAATATATGATTCACCTTGTAATGTTATTATACAAAGTAAATCTTACACTAAAAATCAGAGGTAGTACAGTACATCTTCCCCCCCCCCCCCAAAAAAAAAAAGTGTTCTTGCGAGAAATGAACAGAAGTGAATGTGATTGGTTGCTAGTAAAAGGGTGGAAAGGAAAGGGATTGCCTTTCCGCATTTGTTTGGTCCCTTGGCGGCGAGGGAACGGCGAGGGTGGGTGGAATCGGAGAACTTGAGTGATTTGACGTATTTGCCCTTGGAGTCGTAAGAAGAGGCAGCGCAAGGGCGCCACGTGTCGGCTACTTCTCTCGAAATGCACATATCAGATATCGGGTCTTGGAGCGCCGTTAGCAGAAACGATATGAATCCCAGCAACATCAGCTCTGTCGTCATCATCATCATTCCGCCACAATTATTTCAATTTCAATTTATCATATAGAATAATCAAATAAATATATATAAACAGAAAAAGAAAATTATTGTTAACCAAAAATCCCACACTTTAATGGTATTACAAAGTCAGTCTCCACAAATTATTTTTGGTGACAAGTTATTTAATATTCACATTTATTTATATTATACTATTTATCAATCAAATAATAATTCAACGAATGATGAGTATTTATTATTAATACTCCTTAGAAATAAAAAAATTGTAAATTTAATTTATTAATAATACGATTTTCTCTTTATAAAATGGATTCGCTAGTTTTTAGATATGATGACCTTAAAACTCGGCTTTCAATTCAATTAGTAACCTTTCTACCATACTTTTTTCTCCATGTTATTAAAAAAAGCCTTTCGTAATATCTGTGTGTGTGGGTAGGAACTATCAATATTTTCAGAAAAATAAAAGGGTAAGCAACGATCTTCCAAAAGAAAAAGTACTTTATCCATCTAAATCTTTAATGTAAGACATAATTAACTAGTTTGAGTAGATTAATGATATTAGTGAAATTAGTTAATTATGGTATGTTTTTTCTAAAATAATTTTAGTATCTTTCTTAATTTTTTCCTTCTCTCTCTTCTATTTGATTATTTTTGAGAAAATATCATAAGAGTTAATTTGAAAAAAAATTGATAAATATTACATGTAGAACTAATATTAACTTCCTAATCAGATTACGTCAAGAACAAGAGGAATAATAATATTTAAATACTAGTTTCTGCCCTTACCATAAGAGCTAGTAGCATAAATTAGATTTAACAATACACTGGGTGGCTGAGAACAGATGAAAGTGATATAAAGAGAGAGTTGTGAAGATGAGGCTGAGAAATAGAGGAGAGTAAATTAGTCATTGTATTTGGATTGTACCTCCTTTGACCTTTTCTAGGGCTTCATGAAGAGCATGTTTGTGTTTCTTCTCTAACCACTGCAATTCCACAGATTGTTTATGAGTTGCAGAACAAGAACAAGTGCGTGTGTATATATATATGACTCAATAATTTCGGAGAAGAAGTTAATTACTTTGGCAATATGTTCGATGATATGTTCGATGAAGATGGAAATAGCCAGCAGCACAAAGCAGACCACAGCGACGGCCCAAGTTGCTGTTTCCTGCAACCCCCTCTCATATTCCTCTGTCGCCATTTTTGGAGTGTCTGCAGCTCTGGTTTTTTTTTCCCCGGTTCCCACGCTCTCTGCTAAAAGCAAAAGGCAAGAGATACGGTGAAGAAGAAGGTTTAAGGCAAGCCTGGATTTTGAGCTTGAAACTGAGGAAGAGAAGGGGGGGTTTGGGAGAGTGTCGTGCTATTTGGGTTTATACGAAGAAGGAGGACGAGAGGGAAGGACGGGAGTGGAGACCGACTCTGACAGTTCAAAAGCTTTGGTCAGTCAATAAAAGTCTTCCTGCCAAACAATACTGTCTCTCTAATAATGTGTTTGTGCGTGTGCACGCGTATTTTAAGGGAGAATATATATATATATATATATATATATATAGTTCTTAAAGTATATATTTTGAATCAAAGTTTAGGTTCTTCTTAGCAAAAATACCTTCTACTTTTAAAACTTGAGGACATAAATTTTGTTAAAAATTGATTTTGAGACATAAAAACATGTTTATATACTATTACCTCCGGTACTTAATATAAGATTTTGTTTGACTTTTATTTTGATCCCAAATATAAGAATCCGATCTACTTGTCTCCCATATTCATCTATTTTTTCCAAGATAAATCTTGTAATAATGATATTTCTAGCTAATACATTTAATTAGTAAGGATATTTTAAGAAAGCCAATAACTATTTATTATAAATAACTAACTTAACTAATTTTTTTAATTTATTAAAATTAGTTAACTAGCTCTTATATTAATGACCGAAAGTAGTAGATCAAAAAGTTAGTTAAAACTAATTAAAAACAATAAATGATTAATAGAAAAAATGTATTTGCTTATATTTTCTAAAAATAAGTACCTTTATTTATGTTGAGAGGAGGAGACTTAAAAATGTGTAAGAAAAAGAGATGCTTGAAGGATAAGTAATGCGGCCATAATGTAATTAATAGAGATGAAAATTATAAAAAAAAAGTGGGTTAAAATTTGAGTGGCATCCATTCAATATATCTTCCCAATATATAGCAGAGGGAGGGTGTCATAATATTATAAATTTTCATGGCGAAAATATTCAATAAAATTAGAAAGATGAAAAATTGAAAAAGGGTATTCGTCTGGTCCTTAATATAAGACTCATTTAACTAATTTAATTAGATTAATAAAGTTAGGTAAGTTGGTTAATTATAAGAAATGTGACATGTTTTTCCTAAAATATCATAATCATCTTTCTTAATATCCCATCTTACTCTTCTACTTAATTATCGTTGAGAGAGTATTCATAGGGGTAGTTTAGAGAAAATTGATAAATATGAAAAATGGGTCTTATATTTAGGATCAAAACTAACTCAACAATTAGGTCTTATATTAAGAACCGGAGAAGTATTAATTTCTATCTCTCTCTCATTCTACGCTCAGGCATTTGATATTTGCATTGGAATGCAATGAGCCATTGGCCACAAGTCGGCTTCGCGTCAACTTGGGTTCTTTAGCCGAGTCAAGCCATGACTCCATGGCGTAACCGTCTTTTTCTTAACAAAGGTAATTTAATTACTCACTGGATAATTTCCTTAATCTTTTTTTTGCCGACGATAATTTTCTTAATCACATTTATAATTTAATTACTAAACCATCACTTTACTAGAAATAACTAAATCACAATTAAAGAAAATCCTTAAATTTTCAATTCTCGGTTTAAATATTTATTTGTCCTGTTGACATGAGACAAGTTGTCATGAACAGGCGGAATGGCATTTATTGACTGAAACCGTTTTGTTTGGCTGTCTCTGAAATTATGCGAAAATTTTGGATTATTTGAAGATAACAAGGAATTCCCAGGAAGCCTCGAACCTCCGCACAAGTTGGGCAAGCAAACGAAGACGACCTCTTGCCGTAATTCATCCACATATGGTGGACAAAAAGTGTGCTTTGATTATTTCATAATTTCCTTGAGGAGTTGACCCATTCTAACCTTTGTAATTAATTTTTCTTACTTTTGTATTTCTTACTTCAATAGTTCCTTTAAACTTATTAGATTTTTCTGTCCCCCTCTCAATTTTCCTCGCAGTAAGAATTTGACTTTGTCAGCTTATATCGTAGGAAGTTACATTTTTTCAATAAATAGTGAAATCTATTAAATAAGAAAGATAGTTCAAAAAGTGTACAGTACTCTTTCAGTTCTTAATATAAGATTTATTTGATTAATTTTAATTAATTTGATTATATTAAGAAAGTTAGGTAAGTTAGTTAATTATAAGAAATATGACATGTTTTTCCTAAAACACCATAATTATCTTCTTTAATATTCTCTCTCCCTCTTCTACTTGATTATAGTTGAGGGAGATCCATAAGGATAATTTAGAAAAAATTGATAAATATGATAGATAAGTCTTTTTTAGGACAAAAATCAACTCAATAATTAGATCATATATTAAGGACCAGGAGGGTATATTTTTTAATCAAACTCCACCGCCTTACCATGCTTGATGAATGACACAACAATTATTTTTCATGTTATGGGATAAATTAGCTAAATGATTAGCAAATATACAACACCTTACTTTTCAAACATAATTTGATCACAAGCTAAATGTTTGATCATGATAATAAAAAATCACTTAACATTTTTAATTACTTTCAATATTTAAATGTCAACCATATAGTAGAAGTAGAAAAAAATCAAAATTTATTTGTGTTGGGTAGATTCAAGTTAACCTAATAACTTTTAAATTTTTGTATGTTCTTAAGAAATTAAATCCTTCATCATCATCATGGAAACCAAAATACCCATTGTCTCACCCCACCTGCTTGGGGTGGCAAAAAGCAATATTTATTGGTTCAATACGGTCCATGAAGTGCAAGTTGCCGGGTCATGTTGAAGATCACTTTCCCCCTCCAAGTTGGAACAGTTAATGCTTCTGGGCTTCTTCTTCTTCTTCTGAGTTTTTGATTTTCCCATATCAGTCGAAATTGTAGTCATTGTATCACTTTCCCTCTCTGAATTTTCTCTCGTGAGAATATGTATATACTCTTCCGGTTCTTAATATAAGAATCATTTAACTAATTTGATTAGATTAAGGAAGTTAGGTAAGTTGGTTAATTATAAAAAATGTGACATGTTTTTCCTAAAATTCCATAATCATCTTTCTTAATATCCCATCTTACTCTTCTACTTAATTATGGTTGAGAGAATATTTATAGGGGTAGTTTAGAGAAAATTGATAAATATGAGAAACGGGTCTTATATTTAGGACCAAAACTAACTTAACAATTAGGTCTTATATTAAGAACCGGAGGAGTATTAATTTCTGTCTCTCTCTCATTTTACGCTCAGGCATTTGATATTTGCATTGGAATGCAATGAGCCACTGGCCACAAGTTGGCTCCGCGTCAACTTGGGATCTTTAGCCGAGTCAAGCCATGACTCCATGGCGTAACCGTCTTTTTTCTAACAAAGGTACTCTTTCGGTCCTTAATATAAGACCTATTTAACTAATTTAATTAGATTAAGAAAATTAGGTAAGTTAGTTAATTATAAGAAAAGTGACACATTTTTCCTAGAACAGCATAATTATCTTTCTTAATACCCCTTTTCCCTCTTCTATTTGATTATGGTTGAGGGAGTATTCATAGGGATAATTTAAAGAAAATTGATAAATATGAAAAATAGGTCTTATATTTAGGACCAAAACCAATTCAAGAATTAGGTTCTATATTAAGGACCGGAGGAGTAATTTAATTACTCACTGGATAATTTCCTTAATCTTTTTTTGCCAACGATAATTTTCTTAATCACATTTATAATTTAATTACTAAACCATCACTTTACTAGAAATAACTAAATCACAATTAAAGAAAATCCTTAAATTTTCAATTCTCGGTTTAAATATTTATCTGTCCTGTTGACATGAGACAAGTTGTCATGAACAGGCGGAATGGCATTTATTGACTGAAACCGTTTTGTTTGGTTGTCTCTGAAATCATGTGAAAATTTTGGATTATTTGAAGATAACAAGGAATTCCCAGGAAGCCTCGAACCTCCGCACAAGTTGGGCAAGCAAACGAAGACGACCTCTTGCCATAATTCATCAACACATTGTGGACAAAAAGTGTGCTTTGATTATTTCATAATTTCCTTGAAGAGTTGACCCATTATAACCTTTTTAATTAATTTTTCTTACTTTTGTATTTCTTACTTCAATAGTTCCTTTAAACTTACTAGAATTTTCTGTCCCCCTCTCAATTTTCCTCACAGTAAGAATTTGACTTTGTCAGCTTATATCGTAGAAAGTTACATTTTTTCAATAAATAGTGAAATCTATTAAATAAGAAAGATAGTTCAAAAAGTGTACAGTACTCTTTCAGTTCTTAATATAAGATTTATTTGATTAATTTTAATTAATTTGACTATATTAAGGAAGTTAGGTAAGTTAGTTAATTATAAGAAATATGATATGTTTTTCCTAAACACCATAATTATCTTCCTTAATATTCCCTCTCTCCCTCTTCTACTTGATTATAGTTGAGGGAGATCCATAAGGATAATTTAGAAAAATTGATAAATATGATAGATAAATCTTTTTTAGGACCAAAATCAACTCAATAATTAGATCATATATTAAGGACCAGAAGAGTTATTTTTTTAATCAAACTCCACTCCACCGCCTTACCATGCTTGATGAATGACACAACAATTATTTTACATGTTATGGGATAAATTAGCTAAATGATTAGCAAATATATAACACCTTGCTTTTCAAAATAATTTGATCATAAGCTAAATGTTTTATCATGATAATAAAAAATCATTTAACATTTTTAATTACTTTCAATATTTAAATGTCAACCCTAGTAGAAGTAGAAAAAAAATCAAAATTTATTTGCGTTGAGTAGATTCAAGTTAACCTAATAACTCTTAAATTTTTGTATGTTCTTAAGAAATTAAATCCTTCATCATCATCATGAAAACCAAAATAACCATTGTCTCACCCCACATGCTTGGGGTGGCAAAAAGCAATATTTATTGGTTCAATACGGTCCATGAAGTGCAAGTTGCCGGGTCATGTTGAAGATCATTTTCCCCCTCCAAGTTGGAACAGTTAATGCCTCTGGGCTTCTTCTTCTGAGTTTTTGATTTTGCCATATCAGTCGAAATTGTAGTCATTGTATCACTTTCCCTCTCTGAATTTTCTCTGGTCAGAATATGTATATACTTTTCCGGTCCTTAATATAAAACCCATTTAACTAATTTGATTAGATTAAAAAAGTTAGACAAGTTAGTTAATTATAAGAAAAGTGACACATTTTTCCTAAAATATCATAATCATCTTTTTTAATACCATTTTCTCTCTTCCACTTGAGTATGGTTGAGAGAGTATCCATAGGAGTAATTTAAAAAAAATTGATAAATATGAAAATAGGTCTTACATTTAGGACTAAAACCAACTCATAAATTGGGTCCTATATTAAGGACAGAAGGAGTATATAATTTTTCTATGCGTTACAAATTTTTGAAAAATAAATTGCATTTCATAACTGTTAAATAATACAATTTTTTTATCAAATTTATTATTATTTTTCTCAACAAAAGTGTGTTGGTTATGTATTAAAAAAAAAAAACTTTTTTTTAACCATGCGGTTGTAGGACACATATCTCAAATTGATGGATATGAGGAGTGAGGAGTTGAACATGATCATTTTTTAAATTCATTAAATTTTCATAATTTATATAATTGTATTTATAGCTGGTTATATATGTTGGATTTGAGCTAGATTCAAGCTCCTTTCAATTAATACATGTATGAATAATGGGTATCCTTTTTATTTTTATGACTTTTCTCACTTGAATATATTGTTCCCCTTTGCGTACGCACACGGTATGATTGATCACCACTCAAATTTTTGCAAGTTGTCAAGGTTTGATTAATGCGACGGCATATAATAATAGCAGCAGCAACAATAATAATTGTCAATGGAATGTTAACGAAACGATGAAAACATTGGACACAAATTATAAATTAAGATGTTGAATTTAACTAAAAATAGTTAAGATACTAAATTGAGAATAACTAAACTAATTGTTGGAAAAAAAAAGGATAACTAAATTAATTCAATGAGAAAAAAAGATAATTAACCAATTCTTTTAAAAAATGGGATAGTGGTGGAATTGAGCAAAAGTTAGTTGAAATTTAACTACCTGTGAAGGTATAACTGATAAGGATAAGCAGTAGTAAGTATCAATAATAATAGAAATAAAAGGGAAAAAAAAGTAAGCTGGACATTAAACTGATTGAGATAGTGGTTCAAATGCCAATAGATCACATCAGGATTAAAACAGTTATATTAGAATAATTTAATTTAATTAAAAATAACAAAATATATCAGTATTAATAATCACTAATAAAAAAATACAAAAAAATAACAATAGTTTCATTGTAACAATAACAAAATATAACTACATTGAGAATTTTGATTGTTATGATTTATCAACAGCTAAAATTAATAATCATTGATATCAAAATCATCATTAAAATTCATTCAAACTTGTAATGATTGAAATATTAAAGCTAAATAAAAAAAATAGAACCAATAGTTACACAATCATCCAAATCTGTTTAACATTAGTTCACACCGATTGATATCGGTTTAACACTCAAACCAACCAGGTCGATTCACTGATTTGAGTTCGGTCCTTTTTTTTTTTAACATGGAGGAAATTAGATTTGTTACTGAATCAGTCCAAAAATTGTTCACGGAACGGACCATAGTCTAACCATTAAGAATACATTAATATATTTTAAATAATATTTTCTTAAAATAAAAGTAATTATGTGCTGCGTGCAATAATAAAAATGATATTAAAACCCAAATAAAATAATACATATAAAAAAAAAAAATATCCAGAATATAAATACTCATTTCATTATTTATAACATATAACTTTAGAATATCTACAATATTTTTTGCACATATTTGTTCATTTTCTTCATTTCTCAATGCTTATTAGGTATAAAAATATGGATAAAAATTTTAAAAATAAAAACCAATTCTATTAGTATGTTGAAATAAGTTTTGCGTCGTTTGTTAAGGAATAACTGACTGGCCCATCGGCCACACACTGGTCCTAGGCCACTTGCTCTGATGAAACCCCAAGTAGGAAAAAAGAATATCAAAGCCCAATAAGGTTTTTAGCTCTATTTCTTTACAGCCCCCAGAAAATACGCCACATAAATTAAAGCATTATCTTAGACTATTTTCAATATTGTAATTTTATTTTAAAAACTAAAAATCACATTTATATCTAATTCCAACCCAAATAGTCACTCAAGGCTTCTGCCTTTCCGCGGGCGAGATTGCTGTTAGGTAAATGCAACGCAATAATATTCTGCTTTAACCCGGGAAAAAAAATAAAAGAAATTATTAAAGGAGTGGCAATGGGTATTAAACAATAAAGCTAAGCCAAGTGGCGGAGATGCGCGCTGTTTGCATCCACAGAATTGATTAGTGCTTCTGATATATTCTTCCGATATTTAATATAAGACTTATTTAACTAATTTGATTAGATTAAAAAAGTTAGATAAGTTATTTAATTATAAAAAACATGACATAATTTTCTTAAATATCATAATCATCTTTCTTAATATCCTCCCTCCCTCACTTACTTGATTATGGCTGAGGAAGTATCCATAGGGTAATTTAGAAAAATTAATGAATATGAGAAATATGTTTTATATTTAGGACCAAAATTAACTTAACATTAGGTCCTATATTAATGACCGGAGGAGTACTACGTAAGAGCTAGTTAATTAATTTGAGTAAATTAAAAAAAAATAATTAAATTAGTTATTTGTATAATAAATATGTATTGTTTTTTTCCCCTAAAACATCCTTATTAATTAAGTGAATTGGTTAGAACTATCATTATTACAAGGACTATCTTGAGAGAAAAAAGATAAATATGAGTTACAAAATAGATTAGAATCTTATATTTAGGACCAAAATAAAAGTCAAACAAACTCTTTATTAAAACCGGAGGTAGTGTATATATGTCCTCTGTAATCTCGATTTTTAAGCGGCTGAAAAAAAGATACATGAGGACGAAATAGATAGAAAATTAGTGTAACTTACTTGAGATGGTGTCCCATTCACCCATTCCCAAATACATATAAACATACACACACACATTTATATATATATATATATATATGCATTTTGGAGAAGTCAGAAATGAAAAAAAAAAAAAAAAAACAAAAAAAAAGGAAGAAAGAGGCATATATATAAGAGGTTGTGTGTGGATGGTGCTAATAAAGCTGTTCTTTGCGAGCATGCCACCATCTCCACCTGCACCCAACCAAACCAACCCAGAAACAGCTTTTTGTTAGCAGCTTTCATTACATCAAAGCTTTTTTCTTTTTTCCTAATTAATTAAAAAAACATATTTTTCTATAATTTTTGTTTTTAAAAAAAATTGGTACATATATAGAAAAAGGAAAAGAAAAAGAGAGGCAAACCAGTAATAATCCCAACGGGGTTTGACTTTGGACATGCGATTCTCGCCGTAGGGGTAATCGGTGAGGGCTCTTCGGGTGTTATGGAAGGCGCAGCAGCCGATGCAGTAAATGCCGATGAGCAGCACCAAAACGACGACGCTTAGGACCGACACCTTGTGCCAGTCCCTCCTCATGCTCTCCAGCACCCCCGCCTTGCACGAGTCGCACTCGTAACACAGTAAACTCGGCGAGTTGTTCCACCTGTAACAGTCTGGATCCTGACCCTCCATTATCATCCCCGCGTTGTAGTTGCACGCCGTTGGTGGCTTGCAGCACCCTGACTGCACCATATAACTTCTCACCTCAGCTTCAAAGTTCATTCATATCCATCATCTTCTAACAATTTTTTAAAGAAAAATTGATATTTAAAATTTTTATCGATTTGAAAGCATCTAAATTTGAGTGTTAGTATTTTTAATGTATAAAATCCCGCAAAATTAAGTGTATATATCAAAATATACGAAGCCAAAATAAAATTTTTAAACAGAAATGTTTCATCGATCCTTCTTTCTTTGTCATCGCAATGAAAAATATAGATGATTATCAAGTATCAAGAAAAAATTTAACATAGAAAATGACATGTCATTGAGATTTTTTTTTGGGAATAATTAATTTTTTTTTTTGGGGAACCTAAAGTAATTCGAAAGCTTGTTTTTAACATTCCTATAAGAATTTGACAAATGGAGATTCAGATTCTTTGAGACATGGTTATATGTAATATGTGTTCCTTCTTTTCTCACACCCTACAAGATATCTGCACCTACACAGTACAGTAATATTCTGAAAGGTCGTTAAGCTGTGTGGTCTTAAACCATATCCAATCCAAGTTTTTCACAAGATGCAAACTTATCTCTCAGTTTTAAAAAGCATAGGATAAATTAGTCGCTTCATTCTTAAGCAGTCAAAATCATTGATTTGACTCTATCAAATAAAATTATAGATATATATATATATACACAATTTATATAAAAAAAATTGTCAACAATTCATAGGCTAATATTTAGTTTTATTTTATATAAAAGATAAAAGATGCTTTTCTGCTTAAAGCCTGACCAACAAGCCTTGGGAGCTCGCGCCAAGGTTGAGTTACTTGCATTCATATATCTGCTTTTCCTAGAAGGCATAAAAAAGAGTGCAATTATGACTCAACACCACATCATGTGAAGTCATTTTCTTGATTATTTTTTAAAAGAGGTAATTATTTCTTCATTTGTAATAAGATAATTAAATGAAATACAACATACTCCTAGTGTAGTTTGTTTTTTTTGTTTTAATTAGAGGACAAATACTAGTTATATGAAATTATAAGTAAGATTAAATTTGCAACCTTCCATTTTTAGGAAAATATTCATGTTGTTAGACTAAGTGCTTATTGGCCATATGTATAGTTATACTATCTCCGATCATAAATATAAGAGTTAGTTGACTAATTTGAGAAGATTAAGAAAATAAGTTAAATTAATTATTTGTCATAAATAGATATTATCTTTCCTAAAATATCCTTGTTAATCAAATGTATTAGCTAGAACTATTATTATTAAAAGGACTAATTTGGAAAAAAAATACACAAATGATAGACAAAGTGAATTATAATTTTATATTTAGGACCATAATAAAAGTCAAGCAGGTCTCATATTAAGATCAGAGATAGCATATTTTAAACACTGATATGGAGAGATTAGTGGATGAAATAGGAAAGGAAGCGATAATTGTTTAGCTCAACTAATTAATTTTGTTTACTCTGTTACTCTGTATTTAAATACTTGGTAACAAACAAGTCTATACCTAAAGGGAAAACAAAAAAAGAAGAGATTTGAATTTATTACAAACTTGACGAGCACTCAAACACAATATACTCACCGAAGGCCCTCCTATCTCTATATTCATTCGAACAGGAAGAACAAACATGAAGAAGAAGAAGAAGAATGAGATCCATATATATATATATATATATATATATATATATATAGTGTACGTACCTGAATAGGAGTCATATCTCTCTGTATATAATCAAGGGGGGTCCAAGAAGCAAGCTTAGCACAAGTCCTTGAGCCCAAAATACAGCTCCTTATAGTGTTCCAATACCTCGGATCATTAATCCTATTCCTCAGCCACGGCGAGTAATCCTCCAGCCGGTACTCCCTATACGCCCTTCCCGGAACCTCCACGCCGCCGCCGCGGCTGGTGACGGCGAACCCGAACAGCGTCAGACCCATCGCGTCCCGATCAGAAGCAGCATCACCACCAGGTACAGCCACAGAGCACAAGCGACGTGGAAGCATGCTCCGATGAAACCCGCCAATGAAATCACCAGAACCACGAAACCTATGACCAGAAGTGGTGTCTGTAAGAAGTTCGCGCACGTTGTACTGCTCCGAGCCATCCATAATCCTGCTCCTATTATGGGGATCGAAGCTAGCAGAGTGAACAGGTTCAGGAACCCTATCACTGTGTTGCTGAATCGATACATGTTCTTCTGTTTCTCTCTAAGGCTGGCTAAGCGATGATGATGATGATGATGTTGTTTCGGGGTTTTGATCGTATATATGTGATCTGGGGTTCGAGAATTTCGAGTTTTCTTACATTGTCTAGTGTCTTTTGGTCGTGATCGGTATGCTTTCTTTTTGTCTGCATAATTATGTGGGCTGATCAGAAACTTTAGATAAAGCAAGCATGTGAAAACGACTAAGAATTTTTGTACCGGATCATTATATATTAAACAAGTGTATGTGATCAGAATGACCAAATTGCCATTGCATTGTCAGCTACTCTTAGATGCCATTTATATAATCCTCGGGTACTAAATATAAAATTTAGTTTACTAATTTGATTAAATTAGAAAAAACTAGTTAAATTAGTTATTTATAATAAATAAGTATTATTTTTTTAAATCATCTTTATTAATCAAGTATATTAGTTGGAATTATCATTACTATAATGACTGTTTTGAAAAAAAATGAATAAATATAAAAGGTAAAATAAATTGAGGACTTATAATTAGGACCAAAATAAAAGTCAAACTAGCTCTTATATTAAAAATCAGAGATAGTATAATAATGACTATATATGAGTTTAATTTGTCCCCCATTATATAATGATTAGAGGAATGTTTATTTTCGGAGGCCCCAAATCGCCTTATAATATATTAATATGTAGCTGCTTTGGATGCACCCCAGAAAAACATAGATGTCCTTTTTATATGCATTTTAGCCCGGCTATAATAATCACTCTACATGGTTACATAAACATACCCATAATCACTTCAGTAATGAACAGCGAAATAATTGTATTATTTTATGTTTACCCAATTAGAATTGCGAATCCATGTTGTACAAAATGTAACCGATAAAAGCTGTAACCATATGATGACAAGTCCTATTCTGTCCAAACGAATTGATAACAATTACTATATATATATATATATATATATATTTTGTTGACACTAGAGCATTTACTATCGATAACAACGACTAATCCCTCGCACTGTAAATTTTTCATAAGAGTTTTAGCATTGGATATAGGATCCTTTCCATACACACTGCTAGGAATCAAATCCCTAACTATACTTAAGGAATCCAACCAAGTATCAATTGTCCTAGGTCTTGTGGTTAACAATTATTATATATTTACAATAATATAGAGGTATCCTACTATAAGCAAATGACTCGTATCCTTGAGAAAGTTTTTTTCCCCCCAAAAAAAGGAGAAGAAGATTAAAGTATATCTGACATGTATTTTTTATCTTCGTAAGTGTATTTCTTATATCTATTCACTAAAGCAAGATGAGCCTCTATATTACACGAAATTTACAAAAATGAATTGCACTGTTTTTGTCAGAGTTTTCATATGATGTATAGGGAAAATGCCCAAAAAAAGGCGAGCAAGCAAAGGGCATATAAAAGAAAGATATGATATCAGCTCTGATTCTTAATATAAGAACTAGTTGACTAATTTGAGTATATTGAGAAAGTTTGTTAAATTAGTTATTTGTAATAAATAGATGTTATCTTTTCTAGAATACCCTTACCAATCATTTGTATTAGTTAAAACTATTATTTGATAGAATACTTAACATGTCTAATTACTACAGGGACTACTTTTAAAAAAAAATGAATAAATGAAAGATAAATTGAATCAGAATTTATATTTAGAATCAAATTAAATGTCAAACTAGCTCTTATATTAAGAACCGAAGTTCGTACAACAACTGGACTAAAGATGCGTTGAGAATGAGGCATGGCTGAGGAGGAAATTTAGTAGCAGAAGCAAGTTCATGGCCTTTCTGGTAATTGCCGAAGATGATGCTTTAGGATGAATGATGGGCCCCTTGGAACTTAGTCAAGAAGCAAGGTTTTATCGATATTTATAATTATATGGCCCAGGATTGGCTATACACTTTGCGTGGGTATAGAATATATAGGATGCCTTGGCTACTTTCTTATCTACTGATCTCATATATTCGCGTAGAGTTCTTTCCGGCTCCACTAAACCATAATTCCAATTTTAGAGTGCTTCTAAATATTCTACCACTCACCTCCTCACATTAACAGTACTTTATAAGAGCCTTACCCTGTTCTGTATTTGTATTCTTCTTCCATGGCATCTTTCTTTACTACACCATAACCATGTTGTTCAATCAACAGGTCTCAATATATTTAGCTTTTGAGATTTGAGATTGTGTTAAATATTCCATTCGGACTAGAATAATGCAGAAATTGCTAGCATCCTGTCATTGCTGCTTTGTTTCTGCTTTTTCAAGTTTCTACAAAGTCCCATAATACAAATATAACATTAAAAGATATAAATAAATAAGCAAATTGGTCAAAAGTACCTCTTTAGAAATTTTATCGGTCAAAGAGACCTGAATTTGAATAGATACAGTTCTTTTTTAGTCATGTGCAATATATCTTCAACTATGTGGAAATGACTTTCATTTTAAAGACTTTTTTACATATAATTGCAGATAGGTTGCACACAACTAATGAAAAGTTGCACCTATTAAAGATGATCTATATCAGGTCCTTTTAACTAATAAATTTCTCAATTAGGTATTTTTAACCAAATTTTTCAAAATAAATTAACTTGTTCATCATAAATATATTAGATAAGAAATTTAATCTTTTCAAGTTTTGAAATAACAAACAAATACATCCTTATATTCTCAGGATCATCATTCTACATAATCTTTCTCAGAACTCTCACCCATATGCTAAAGTACTAGAAGCTTACAAGTGCAGATTCACGTCAATAATGTGCCAGCAGAACAGTAATCATACAAGATATAGCAGATGCCAGCAGAAAACCAGCAATCCCTCTTGGTACAATTAACAGCATAAAGGGACCTGCAAACTATTCATCCTTCCACAAAGTCTAAACCCTTTGCAGTCACAAATTAAATGTATATAGCACAATCAGAAAGAGATTAGAAAAATATGATGAATGAGAATTCAGATAAGAAATAAAGCTCTTACACAGTTTCTTCCTTTTTATTACTCTCTTTCTCAATGTATATCTGCATAACTAAAAAAAAAAAAATCAATTTCAAGCCCCCACTCCTCAACTGCATTGAAGGGGTCAGAGGCTCACAGAGAATGATCTTAGCATTACAAAGAATCAATTTCATAGAACTACATGCCACATTTTGACACAGGAAAAGTACCTTCGGTAAGTAAAACTCCTTAACCTTCCAGGAAACTTATGAGAAATGCATTTACAGTGTTTCTTCCCAGTCCATGTATATGAATGATTTTGATGTTTTCACTGAACTAACAATTTGGTCCTTGAATTAGTGAGACTATTATAGTTTTAGTCTCCACAATTAGTGAATAAAGAGAAGTCAATACCTGAAAATAATAAACTCATTGGATAATTAGTCCTTTTGTCAAGCAGATCAAGAATGCCAAAAGGAGTAGCATAAAACAAGCTTGTTATTTTCAAGCATTAACTTAAATGTTCGCTAATTTTCAACAACTATAAACAAGCTTCATAATGCAGTAACCAAATTGTTGTTTCCGAATAATTGTTAATAGAGTACAATGGCGTTCTGTGATTCATGTAGCCGATCCTACTTAGTAGAATAAGGCTTATTGTTGTTGTTGTTGTATACTTTGAAGGTTTATGATCAATAAACCTGACACAATTTGAGTTTAACTTGTCATGGGCTTGCTCTCCAAGAATGACCGGAAAAGAATGAATGCTTGGCGAGGTCGATGTAGTGGAACTTCATGTCCAGCTCCTGTTACTGTAACAAACGTAAGCCCTTCATAAACTTGGCTCCATCCACCAACCTTCACCCAAGAAGAAGAAATTTCAGCAGATAGTAGAAGCACAAGGCCGTATTAGATTCCAGCTTTCAGAAACTAAGAAAATTTGTCTGGAAATTCTGAAGGTCAGATTTTGAAGTTTGTTTTCTCTATATTCAGCAATAAGAGTTAGGTTGTTCTGTGTTCTCTAAAGAGAAATGTAAAGAAAACTACTTTCATTGAGGTCTATCTTCTAAATGATTAATATTTTTTATCTTTAGAATGGGATTTTATTTATGCATGTCGGTACTTGAGGTCATTATTTATCCATGGGAAAGTTGAAGTTTGAAGATAAAACTTTATCCCAACGGTACCGGAAATTGATTTTTTTGGGCCAACCAAAAACCATTATCAGAAACCAAAAATACAAAATCAGAATCAAACAAGGATAGGATTACAAATTAGACTTTTTAACAATTAAACAATAATGCATTCTGGAAGAGAGTGATATAAAATGATATGACTATATATGGGCTTTCTTTCTATTTACGCATCTCTTTTCTCTTTCTCTCTCAAATATAGTATGTACAATCACTTTTTTGTAACTCCAGAAGATTCATATCGAATAATTATTACTCTAAGAAAAGAGGACTGACCTTGCCATTATCATACCAGGGGTACCAATTAGTAATGGTGGGAAGTTTCAAGGCGTCAATGGAATATCGAGTAGCAGTTACTGGAACCACAGAGTCCGTATCTCCACTGCCAAAAGGAATCAACTTAGCTATAAATCCAGCCAAAATTATGAAAATGCTATTTTTCAGTTTTAAACAGAAAATATAGATTGTTAACAACACAAATAAGTCGCATTTTCTGCATAGAAGTGCAATGTCGGAGACTATGGTATAGACGGAAAAATCTAGAATGAAGTAACTGAAACATCTATCTTTTTTGGATAAATTCAAAGTACATATTATTCAGCATTACATATCATTGGCCCCAAGAAAAGAAAACATCACATATGTGAATGGTTCATTTAAGGGGGAAAAAGCACCTACCTAACTGGGTTTTGTTAGAAAGCTATGTAATAGACAGACCTATTCATGAAGGATTAGTGAAATTTCACTGCATCTGGTTAGTGGGAATTCATAAATCATGTCATTTATAGTTTTCCACATTCTCTATCAAGCTTAAAGGTTAAGGGAAAATTAGTAGGATCCTAGGTTGATGAGATGTTGTTCTATATATATCAGTTGAAGCCACCTTGCGTCACTTAGTTCTCTATCCTGGAACCCGAAGACTGGTCTGGGTATTAAAATAGGTAACATGAAATGCTGCCCAGTGAGCTAAATTACAAATTGTGTGTCGCAAGTCTAAAAACATTCAGAATGATCTGATATATTCCTCTGGTCCTAAATATAAGACCTTTTTTGTAGTGAGTATAAGGGTCTTATATTTAGGACCAAAAGAGTGTGTATATATATTTATATATTGAAACAGCCAATCAGTTAAGTCCCCCAAGAACTAAAAACAATAGGAGAGCTTTGTGAGAAGGAAGATCAACCAAGGTCCACCTGATTCTCACTATGTTTAAGCCATGAGAAATTACAATTTTGACTAGAGGCAAAATTCCACATTTTAGCCTGCAGACTTGGAGATACTATTAATTCATTTATAAAATTCTGTAAGGACTTGTAGGCTTAGGCAGGTCAATTTTAGCTTTAGGAAAATTCAGTCATATAACCAGCTATGCACGTTGGTGTAGCGTGCCCTTAGTCCATAGGCATACAAAGAAACCAGATATATGGTCCCAAGAACCCTGCAGGGTTATTTCCATTCACCCCTCGCCCCCTCCCCCCCAAAAAAAAAGGGGTCTCTGGAGGAAGTTCGATGGAATACCAGCTAAAGTCCTCTAGAACAGTAAGCTTAGACAAACTCTGTCAGATATTTTAACAATTTTTTTTTAATTGGCTATAAACTAGAATCATTTCCTCCTAAAGTTAGGAAATTGCAAAACCCGTTATTAGCAGTAGCACTCGATTTACAAAATTGGCAAACATGGGTAAGTTCACCTGTATACCCATATCTTGAGACCAACACCAATGAGTTCTTGATATATTGGAAGCATAGATAGTGGAGAATCGGCCCAGTAGTTTCCAACAATATCACTGTAAAAAAAAAAAATCTAAAGTCAAAATTCTAATAGAAATGATCTCTTAAGGATACCTAAAATCACGCATCAGTTTTTAATGTACCTGCATGTTTTCCATGAATATGGGATATTAGTTACATTGGCATGGAGTGTCTTCTGAACATCAGGATGATTGAAGTACATGTCTGAATACCTCTCAGTACAAGGGTCGTAAGCTCGAGACATCCATGGCTGGGCTCAGAAGTCAATGGTAAGCATAAAGAAAAGATAAATAAGTCAACTGAACAACCAATGTCATAGCTTTCATATTATAAAAAAAATGACTCTATAGAAAAAATTATCATTTTGAATATTAAAGGACAGATCAAATCAGTTGCACTAAAATTACAACACTAAGCATGAGATTTCAGAACCTACTTCGTGCAAAAGACTTCTGATCTAAGTATATTACTTCTTTGTTTTTTTCTTTTCTTATTTCCTTTAGCTAGGGCTAATCTTATCTAAATTAAGTGAGCGCATGTTCTGGAATTACCATATATCATCTTTAGAAGCACAAGTGAAGTTTTATATCTAAACAAAGAGATGCATGGTAGAAGACGGGCATCACAGGGATAAATGAAATTTGAAGAGTGGATAATCAAAGGAGAGTGACTTCAAACTCCCAAATAAGCTCGAGTCTATGTCCTTAAAATGAGAAATAATTGCATATTGTTTGCATGGATTTAGGATTGAAAGCCTATACATTGCAAAATTTAGGAAATAAAATATGTGCGCTTCCACCTTGCATGGATTTAGCAGTAGAACCCTCCATAGAACATCGTCGCCTTTAAAAATCCAGCAAACTAATGATTCTAATAGATACCCATATTTCCATGACATTCCCCGCCAGTTTTAGTTCCAAGAGCTTCCTCCAGAGACAGAAAATCAGAAACCTGATTACCTAAAAATCCTCTGGAGGAAGTTTCACTTGTAGTTTTATTTTTAGAAACTTCTTGATTGCAAAAACAGATGTAAGAAGCTAGTTTCCTGCTTGCATTACTATTATAATACCCATATTTGCCATTTATAAGTTCAACAGCATGTAAGGGCTTGCATGTAGACATATTCTACGTTTTCAAGTATACTAAATGTGTTGAGACAAGAGCTTACATAGCGACCGCCCAACCTGCGCTTGAGTGATGCAGTATCATTGCATGGGCGTGTATAAATGCTATATGGATCAATGTTTCCCCGCTCTAAATCTGCAACTCTTAGAGCCTCTATGCATTGTATTGATGGATGCTGGGAAGACCCAAAGTCACATGCTAGTTGAAGCATCTTATATGTGGAATCCGAAATCAAACCATGGGTCCACCAGTACTCAAATGTGCCAACATAATCGTTATAATCATCAGTAACAGCGTTTCCAACCTTGGATATGTGAAAATTGGCACTCATCAGATGATTATCTATCAAACAAAATAGTGGTCTCTCCATAAACTTAAAGAGGTAAGAAGATCATCATTGTTTTCATCTATCTTACAACCTTACCATAAATCCCTTTAAATTTATAATTGGTTTCTGGACACCCTTATTTTTATGGTAAACAAGTTGAGCCAACTGAGGAACATAGTGACCTACACAGAAATTGTAAAAACCAAGCATTCAATTATTAAGTCTACAAACAAAATCATTTGGAGAAAAAAATTGATATATAAATAGAAGAAGGACCTGCATAACTTTCTCCAGCAATGTAAAAATCTCTATACTTATACTGAGGAAATCTTTCAAACCAATTAACAAGAAATGTATAGGCATCTTCAGCTGCAAAGTCAGAAATCCTGATTACAGTCTCACAAAATATATCAGATAAAACCTGGCACTGACCAAATCAGGTAAAACAAGCACGAATTATTCATCCTCCATAAGCAAGAGTTACTCTTACTCATAAGATGTTACAACCATATTACCTGTTCTCTGGTCACCTGCAGAGTACAGATCTGATGTTTCATTGGAATATGAAAAACCCACACCAGCAGGAGACTCAATGAAAAGTATATTTGCCACTGAAATGCCAAAATATACAAGTATTTATTATTTATCGCAGAGAAAAACTCAACACTAAGCAAAGATTTCGAAAAAGTTCACCCACTCATATTTTAATTATAAATTTAAAAAAAAACAAAAACAAAAACAAAAAAACTTAAAGCGGGCATTTGAAGAAGCGGGGATTCACTCTTACAATTGTTCCAAGCATATGGATTCATGTAAAGTGACTTCCCATCAGAACTAATTCGAAAAGGGCCAATCTCTTCAGCCAAACCGTAAGCAATAGAGGAGCATCCAGGACCACCATTAAGCCATAAAACAAGTGGCCTGGACTTGGGGCCACGACTTGAAGGCGACTCGATCAGCCAGTAAAATAACGCCCTCCCTGCTTGCTCGTTCACAGTTACATAACCAGAGTACTGAGCAAATCCTACATTTTTTGGTTGTCCTGGTAAATGGGTTATCTTATCTCTCTCTTGATCTTCGATGGGGGAGGTGGCTAAACAAAGTTCAATAGGAATTGATAAAAGTAAAACAACAAATAATTGAAAATAACCCATGAATCTAAGAGCGAAAACCCAAAAGAGTAATAAAATATTTCTGGGTGTTGTAGCCTTTCAGCTGCTTACTCCGAAAATCATGCAGAAAACCAAATAGAAATAGAAAATAAGGGAAAAGATAGAATTCTTTATCAATGGAATTCGCGGGAAATGCTTCAGAGAAATGTAAATACCAAAACAATCTAAGATTTCCCTAAATGGATCTGAATTTTAATGCCAGAGGTTCATAGCAAATGGTAGGCCCAGCTAAGTATGAGCATCAACCAAAATGATAGGATAGAAAAGAGAGACGGATATGGTGAGAAAGACAGTGACAAAGACGTGCATTAAAATGTTCGGTTTTAATTAAAGAATACACAATCCTAACGATTGTGAAAAGATGAAATGAGCAGTAAAAATTCTACGCCATGCATTTTCTCGTCGACTTGATGATCTAATCTTTGAAAATTTTCTTCAATGGGAAAGGACCCATTATCAAGACCTGTGAGCAATGGCGGCACAGGGAGCTAGTCCTCGATGGTCAATCTCTGCGGCTAACATCACTGACTATTGCAAATTTACAAGTTAGATCCCAAATATAAAACTATTTATTTAAAATTCATTTTGTAAAATAAATTTTATATTTAGCACAGGGGAATACAATGTGCGGACTATTGCCTGAAGAAATGATGACAAATATATAAAGAAAATAAATAATAATGATAATAGTAAAAAGAATGCAACCATGACAAATTTTATGTCAAAATTAAATAATTAAAAAAATTAAAATTATTTGAAGAGAATATTTTTACAATACGATGTTTGACATCTATAGTAACAGTAACAAGATTTTGCAATGTTGATTTTAAGAAACCTAAATGGTAAGTTTACAAGCGCACCAATTATTATAGTACCTCCGATCCTTAATATAAAAGTTAGTTGACTAATTTAAGTAAACTAAAAAAATTAGTTAAGTTAGTTATTTGTAATAAATAGGTGTTATCTTTTTTAAAATATCCTAGCTAATGAAGTACTACGTCTCGTCTCAATTATAAGAGCTGGTTGACTAATTTGAAAAGATTAAGAAAGTAAGTTGAGTTAGTTATTTGTCTTAAATAGGTGTTATCTTTCATAAAATATCCTTATTAATCAAGCGTATTGGTTAGAACTACCATTGTTAGAAGAACTACTTTGAAAAAAAAATGTATAGATATTAGAGATAAAGTAAATTGGGATCTTATATTTAGAACTAGAATAAAAATTAAATAAGGTCCTATATTAAGGACCCGAAGTCCTATAAAAATTAGAACCGGAGTAGTATATTGGTTAGAACTATCATTATTATAAAAACTACTTTAAAAAAATAAATAAATATAAAAGACAAAGTGGATTTGGGTCTTATATTCAGGACCAAAATAAAAATCAAATAGGTTCTTATATTAAGGATAGGAGGTAGTAATTCTATTGTGTCATACGGGCCAAAGCCAATAAAAAAATTGATAATTAAGAACTTTTTTTTTCGCAGATAGTTAAGAAACCTAACATCTGAGGGTGATAATCACAAAAAGATCTTATATTATAAATTGTGATATTGGAGTCTTTGTTTGCATTTCTTTAGCATGTATCTTCTTGAGACTCTATATCATCATTCTATTCTTGAACATATACAATTATATAACGTATTTAATGCGACATTCTAAAAAAATAAAATAAAATAAAATAAAACCAAGGATTAATGAACACCAAATATTAGTTGGAAAAAAAAACAACAAAGGTAAAAATATTAAGTAAAATATCCGCACTTTTGTTTTTTTGGGTACAATACGAACTTTTTTTTTCTTTTTTAATTTCATTGAAACGAGGACCTTGTATGGGTCCATTAACGAATAGTCTTGGGCTCATTGAGTCACAGTGCTGGACAAACCATCAAGGTTTTGGCGGGAAAAAAGGTAACAAGTAACCGCTCGTAGTTTTTTTCTTTAATCTTAACTTAATGAAGCCTCAATCTATATAATTGACTCAGAACTCAATCCTTAATTTTAACAGCAACTCAATCTAAATACTCTTCTTATCTTTAACATAAGACCTAATTATTATGTTAATTTTAATTCTAAATATAAAACTCATTTATCATATTTATGAATTTTTTTAAAATTATCCCTATAAATACTTTTTCAACTGTAATCAAGTAAGTGGTGAGAGAGGGATATTAAGAAAGATGATTATAGTATTTTAGAAGAATATATATTATATTTCTTATAATTAACTAAGTTACCTAACTTTTTTAATCTAATCAAATTAGTTAAAAAGATCTTATATTAAGGATCGGATGAATAATTTTTAATTGGTTGAAACTTGACATTCAATACAATTCAATCCTTATATTTTAACTACTACTAATATAAGAACTAGTTGAGTAATTTGAATGCATTAAGAAAAATAGTTAAGTTAGTTATTTGTAATAAATAGGTAGTGTTTTTTTAAAAATATCTTTACCAATTAAGTATATTAGCCAGAACTATCATTATTATAAGTACTACCTTGAGAGAAAAATAGATAAATACTATCTCTGGTCCTATTTATAAGAACTAGTTGACTAATTTAAGGAGATTAAGAAAAGAAGTTAAGTTAGTTATTTGTAATAAATAGGTGTTGTCTTTCCTAAAAATATCTTTACTAATCAAGTGTATTGGCTAAAACTATTATTGTTAGAAGGGTTATCTTGAAAAAAAATACATAAATACGAGAGACAAAATGGATTGTGATCTTATATTTAGGACCAAAACAAAAATCAAACCAACTCTTATATTAAGGACCGGAGGTAGTATTTAACATGTTGTCTTTATATTTTAGAATTTTAAGATTTTAAATGACTAAAATTATAAAGATTGACTTACGCCACATTAAAATGTAGGATTTAAATTTTAATCAAAATAAATTACGAAAAATAATTTAGCAACGCGGTGATAATTAAGTTAAAATTATACGAATTAAATAAAAGATTTTTTGGGCACAAAGAAAAAACAAAAAGTCGAAATGGGGGTTGGAGGCGGCCGGGCCCAAAAAGAGAGCGAACATGAGCTCCCAGCGCTGCAGGAACATGCCGGAAGAACTCGCCACGCAAGCCCTAAGATTATATTCACGCGCTCGAACGCGGGTGCGTGCGTTGATCATTGCCTGATGGGAACCAGCGCTTTCTCCGCCGCCTAAAGGCGCCAAGAGCCCAGGACCCAAGAGAAGAGGGTCGTTCCCTTCCCACGCGCCCGCACGTGTTTTTCAATGACGTCATCTCTCTCCCTGTTTTGTAGTTTTTGACTCCGTCCGTCCATTTTTTGCAAGCTGTCAAAGCAAGGACGTTAGTGAGTTCTCATTTGTTTACTCAGATTTTCCACTCTTAACAAACTTCCTGAAAAATAATTACCGCGTAAAAATCAAGTTATCTTTTATTATTTATTACTATTAACTACTATAATTTCATTTCAATATCCATTTATTATCTTTACGTACCTACTATATGGTATTTGGGAATGGGCGCGTAGTTTTTTTTTTTTTTCAATGTACATTATTGCACATTGGCTTGGACTAATTGTTTTGAAGTAGTACTTATAAAAACATACTTCTCTGATTCTATTTATAAGACAAAGAGAGAAAATTATTTTTAATCCTATTTATAAAGTATTGAGAGAAAATTTTTATATGGATATCTAATTTTACCCTTTATTTATTATTATATTGACTTTGTTTACATGAGGTATAATGTATATTAAATAAGGATAAAATTAAAAAATTGTTGAATTTTAAATGAGAGTTAATGAAATTTAAGGTTTCTCTTGGTATGTGTCAAACCTATTAGAAGTGACTTATAAAAAGGATCAGACGAGTAAATGATTAAGGAAAAAAAATAATAGTTAAAGTTATTTTCATTTTATTCTCTGTTTCTGCTAAAAAAATATTCGACCTATAAATTAAAAATCAAAACAACATTATATTCAGACCATCCATTTTCAATCTATGCTACACGAGTGCGAAGGTTACATCGGACTTTTGTTTTTGACCTTGAAGTTATATATCTGGCTAGAGCCATGTGACAACTACAATTTATGATTAATATACAGAACCATGGAATAAAAAGTTGTGTGGAGATTTTTTTTTCTTTTTACAAGAAAGTTTGTGTGGTGAGTGTGTGATGGTAGAAGGGTCACCTCTATTCTAAATGCAAGGTTGGTTAACTAAATTATAAATATTAAAAAATAATTAAATTAATCATTTATAATAAACATGTCTTGATTTTTCTAAAACACTTCATTTGATTATTTGCATTTAAAGTATTTTTATTAATTAAAGGCCTTGTTTAATATATGCACTCAATATGACTATTTAGATAAAAATTATAAATTTGTAAGGCAAATAAAATTGAAATATTTAGTATTGGAGAGGGGGACACATCTCAAATTGCATATAACACCTGATGTTCATTTTAAAAAAGAATGAAACAGAAAAATCCAGTGATTTTAGGCTTGAAACTAGGGGTGTTCACGGAACCAGAACAGGCCCGTCTCGGTCCCGTCCTGGTGAACAAGGACGAAACAGGACTTTTGTCCCGTATCCCGTGTCCTATCCCGTCCTTCTTTTTTCTTTGCTCCTTTCAGTTTTGGGCCTTTATTTTTTTATTGGGCCTGTTTTAAAATTTCTTCTTGATTTTTTTTTTGGGCTCTGTGAAAACTATTTTGGCCTTTGATTTAATGGACTTAATATTACTTTTATGGTAACAAATTGGCCCACTTCGAATTCTGCAGCCAACAAAATTAAAAACTAAAAGCATAGTCCATGTTCTAATTGGATTCCCCGCAAATGTATCAAATCAAATCAATTCCTAGAAGCTACCACTCCATGCTAATTAATTAGCCAAAGCACAAAACACAAGACCCATGGCATGTGACTTGAACAGAGACAAACGGTTTACCTGCAAGCCTCGCAGATGAAATTCAGGTCAGGCGAAGGCGAGAAGAATTGGGGATAGTTCAGAGCGAAGG